TATCCAGCGAAGTGGCAGAACTAGGTTTCTTAGTATTACTTCACAGCATTTTCTTGTATCTCAAAAGCTAAAAGCATCCATCACTAAATGTTCTAGTGTTAGTTACTTCCTGTGAAGGGGATAGAAAAAAAAAAACAGAATTGGACATAAAATTGTCTGGCAGATTTAGGAGGAAATAGAAATGATATACAGCTAAAGACTAAATACAAAACACCTTTTCCTTCTTTGTATTTTTTAAATGGAAATTGTTAAGGTGCTAACCTCTGTGCTTACTACTTCAGAGCTAAAATCTACGAAACTCTAAACTCTAGTGTAATTAAATATTAAAATGATCTCAGTGTTTCCATGGAAATAAAGACCCCATAAATAATTACTATTCAATACATATACAAAACTGTTCCCTGAAAGCTACACATTATTTTACAGTTACTGCAAGTTAGATGTTTTATTTTGTTCTTGTCTATACCCTTTGGTTAAATTCTTAACTTCTAAATAAACCTACATTTTGGCCTAATTCTGGTATGAAAACACAGAAAGATCTCAAAATAGTTAATATACTTATGTATTTCTTATCTCTTTAAAGTCAGAATTTATACTTCTACTACCTAATTGTATTAGGTAAAAGCAAAATGTGTGCAAAAGTTTAACAGTATTTTACTGTTTGAAAAAAAAATTTTAATTTTAAAAGATAACAAAAATTTACAACTTTAGGTACTTAATTTAAAAAAACAGCTAAAAGACACTTTCCTGAAATACTTTTATAAATATAGATTAGGGGGATATTTAAAATGGAGTTACTTTATATAGCAATGTGTCTCAGAGACCCTTGCTCTAATTGAATATGTCTTTGTAGAATATGTATTTGTTGTGTCTCCCTGGTGGCACAGAGGTTGTCTCAGAGCTATCAAGCTATCACCAGCCCCTGAGACATGAGTCCAATCCCTGGTCAGGGAGGTAACCCAGATGGCACAGCAGACCTCTCCTGTCTTGCCTGCTGCTCTCCTCAACAGTGTACCTCAGTAGATATGCCTGTTCTGCTCCCAACTCTGTCTCTGGTGAGTCCTCTCACCCCTACACCCTGCACCTGTGACCAACATCCCATTTCTTGTATGTGTAAACAAATATGGTTGTTGACCAAGAGCCTCCAGAGATTGCTTCAATTAGCATCCAATCTAATTTAAAGCACTTCTTGTCCTTACATTCCTTCTACTGACCAGTGTGGTATTTCTTTTCACATCTTAGTTGTTTTCCCTGCTCCAGCTCACCTAAATATTGAGGGCACCCGGACTCGGTGGATCTTCTTTATATTTTCTTCTCTGTTCTCTAGTCTCAAATACTATCAATATGTTGATAAATCACAGAATCTCCAATCCTGACCTCTAGATTTCTAAGTAACTACTTAGCAGTTCAATTTAAAGATTTATTCCTCTTTCCTGAATCTATTCCTCCCCACCAATGTTTATCTCAATAACATCACTACCATTCAATTAGTAACTAGCTCAAGACTTAAGCCCTACAGTTAGAATCCCTGTCCTTCACTCCCAATAGCAGTAAGTGAGCAAGTTCTGATGATTTTCTAAAATATACCCTGAATTTTCCCATTTCTCTTTGCTTTCGCCTCCATTCCTCAGGCTCTGACAACTAAGCTATCAAAGAATCTCTCTTTGCTTCCTATATTACCAACACATTAAGTCAATCACCTAACCTCTCATCTATGTGTGCAAATATAGTAAATTCCTAATTGCTCTCCTCATTTCTATTCGTATCTCTCAAGTATTGTTTACTGCAAATTTACAGCTAACACGTATGTGATAAAAACATAGTAAGGCTGGGTTTTAACTAGTTAACGAAGTAGAGTTACAAATATTTAGATAGATATGGAAAAATATGCATTTAAGATGTCTAAAGCCTAAATCAGTTAATGGGACCAGATCAACTCAGCTTACTCTGGAGAAAGTAAGATTTTCTATCGTCCTAAAAAATAGGCAAACAAAAGAACATGAAAAAATTAATGATCCACCTCTTCAAATATGAAACTTCTGCTTCTGCCATTATACTTAAACTATAAAGCTGTATTTAAAGATGTCACAGGGCCAAAATGTGGAAAAAGAAGAATTACTTATATTTTAGTACATGCATTGTTTTAAATGTTGATGGCTGGCTAACTTGAGAGTACTATATACATGTATATATAATCATATATATATGACAACATATAAAATACATATATATGTGTGTGTGTGTAATCCTATCAGGAGTTATTATATTTATGCCTAAAAACTTTCATGTTTCGAACTGAAAATAAATCTATAGTCAAAATTTTCAAGTAATAAAATGTTTATTCAGCATCTTCAAATGAACATAACTACCACTATTTCCAGAAAAATTATAAAAACAAAACAAGTTTAAAGAAAAAATAACAAAGGATTTTTAAATGAAAAATTAATTATAACAAAGACACTATACATTAAGTTACTATATATGTGTGTGTGTGTATGTACACACACACACACACACTTTAAAACATTTTAAACCTGGTATAAATTAAGCAACATTTTTCTCATACTCACATGATTATGTATTTTGACAGTATATAAAGAAGAAACACAAGCTAGTGGGCCTCAAAATGAGAAACTCTAATGCAAGATCAGATCTCTAAATTTGTTTTCTGTGACTTTTGTTAAGTTTTAGAAAATGCTGAGTTTGCACAAGATAGGAAATCTTTACCGTTTAAGTATGTATCTACTTACACAGAAAATTATTATTGAGGGAAAGACCCACCATGACTATGTTTATTTATAATTCACTGTGGTATATACAAAGTTCAGTTGGAGGCTTGGAACACAAAAACCATGAGGAAACAAATCAGCTGGAATTATGACTTTTTGATTGCTTATTTTGAATATCCAGTTACTAATACAGATATACTTTGTAATACATGACACAAAGAGCATTAAGTCAAACTTTGCTGTAGAGCTGTTAGGAGAATGCCAAATATAGATACTAAAGATTCTGTGCACTTGTCTTTAACACCTGTGCATTTAAAAAATAGTTGAATATTTTAAATATGTAAACACTTTTTAAAAAGCAATGCAAAGCACCTTTAAAATACAATACTGATATACTGTGACTGAACATGCATTTAAAGGACAAATGAATTTTTAAAAACTAATTTAGAAACCAATTAAGGGGTTACTCATTGAAATACTTACATGAAAATATTGATAGTTCCATTTTTTTTTTTACCTAAAAACCAAAAGAGTATACAATTAGGGACTAATATTCTTTAATGTTCTCTTTTCTCTTGTTTTGGGGAGAATGTACTGTGACTTTCTGTTCTTGTGACAACAGCAGCAGGAGAAACATTCACATAGAATGAAATTAGAGAAATATTTTTAAACTGTATATTGGTTTTGGTCAAGTTCCAAAGCCTGAATCCTCTGACATCTCTGATCTCCATAGACAACTTACTAGAGTTTATGTTTTAGCAAGCATTTCTCCTTAACAACTCAACATCAAAAAAAGAAAGGAATGTCTCCAAAACTTTTTAGTTTGATTGGTGAAATATTTAATAATAAACCATTACTGCTATTGAAAGGTAAAGTTCTATTATTTAAAATGTTGAAATAAGGTTTCCTTAAAAACTAGAATTAACAAATGAAAAAAATATTACAATGCAAAACCAAAATATAAATGAACTTGGGCTTATTTCTCATTTATTTTTGAACTTATTCCTCTCAAATAAATACAGACGAAGAGAAATCCAGGTTTAATGTAACTAAAAATTGTGCTTAATTAGCATGACATAATCAGAATTGACAGCCTGTCTTTAGGGTGAGTGTGAGGATGAGGTTTCGGATTAGGGCAAAGCGCCAATTTTTCAATTGTTAAGAAAAAGTAATTCTATTAAAAATCATATATGTAACTGAATATTTAATCTGTATTAAATAGGGATATAAATAATACATTTTAGAGTAAATAGGGTATAAATCTAAAGTGCAAGGAATTTTAGAATTCCACTCACATCTATTAGAAGAGTGCTTCATATTTATACATGTTTTATACCTGAAACTATTTGAGTGAATTAAAGAATGGGAGATTAGACTTAGAAAAGGCAAAATGACTTGCAGTACAGTTAAAGTTTGTATTATATTCTGCATGCTTTAAACATTAATATCCATTTAAGCCCCTTACTCATTTTTCAGTAAGATTTCCAAGTACCCACATATGGTGTCTGGGGAAAATAACTTTAGGTTTATTTCTCTATAGAAAAAGCTCATAGTAAATATATTAATTAACACTTATTAGGTGTTTAAAGTAACTGCACTTACTCAGCAAGCAAATATAACAGAGTTGTTTTAAAGTTTTAAATATGAGCTAAATTTCAAATTATAAATACTTACCTCGAAATACTATAAATTCTAATACCATCAATTCAGTAAGAACTCCAGAAAAATAAACACAACTGAAATTCTTTTCTAACCAGAGTTGAATCTTCAATACAAAATGGGGGGAAAAAATTCCTCTGCTGATATCAAAAAGTTCTCCAATTATCTGCAAACACCAGGGAATTCTATTATTCTTTTTGAATTATCTCAATTTCTACATCTTTACCCACAAGTAGTGTTTTATCTATAATATTATATAAATTGATGGAATATACATTTATTTCTGTTACTTATGGGTAAAAGTTAAAGTTTTCATTACTTACCAAGACATTTTAAGTTTCTACTAGATGACTACTAGTAAGGTATTAATTTGTACCTAGAAGTATAAAAATTATAAGGGAAGAAGCTAAATGAAACTACATAGTTTCCAGATGTGACTACTGAGCTTTGTGTTACGATGTAAAATCTATTTTATCTTTCCAAATGAAACAGACTCTCATCTTCCTGCAAATTTAAAAAACAAAAACAAAAAACTCTACACAACTTTAAAGAAAATAAGTTCTTTCAGAACTTAAAGTCAAACACACACACAGACACACACTCTTATACATTTTTCTGTTGTGGGTCTTTCAGCCTTTAAAAGTCCCAAACTGTTATTTCCAGAGGTTGACTTAGATAACTATTTGTGTATAGACAGGGATAAATTCAAATTTTCTTTTGAAATACTGGCCTTATCAGATAATCAAAAAAACATAAGAATTATACAAAATAGGAATAAAATATCTCTTAAGGTAAAAATATGGAATTGGCAACAAACATTATCAGTTTTAAATCCAAGCTGCTCATCAAATCAGTCTTCAGTTCACTTATTACAATGCTGTGCTTTGACAATATTCACCTTCTTTTTTATGCATCAGAAGTCACCAGATTTGCAAACTATGAAGAGCTTCAATAATTTAGGTAGCAGATAATTTCTTACAGTCCAAATTATTTTTTGCGTCCATGGACAATGTTGGTTCTTTGGGTTCTTCTTTAACTTGGTTCATAGAAATTATACCTTCTGAGTTTTCTTCAACTTTAAAACCAAATATAAAAGGAAAATCCAAAAGGTTAATATAATTTATAACTGGATTTTAGAATTATACAAATTTAGAAGCATGGCAAAAACTAGCAGTTTGAAAAAAGTATCATTATTTAGAAAAGCAGTTGGTACATTTAAGAACTCAGTCCTGACACTTAACAGTCATGTGAATTAAATGCTTTTAGTATGCTTCTATAGTAATGAAACAAAAAAATCTATAAACAACTCTACAAATTTATTCATTTTTATTGTTCTCTTAAAAGTATAGCCCAGATGGCCCTCCCTGGTGGCGCAGCGGGTTAAAGCACAGCACTAAGAAGCTAAAGCCACTTCTGCATGAGTTCGATTCCCGCCTGCCCCGGAGGTGACCACATGGCGCGGCAGACCTCTCCTGGCCCGCCTGCTGCTCCCCTCAGCAGTGTACTTCTCATCAGTTGGCCTGTTCTGCTCCCCACTCTGTCTCTGGTGAATCCTCTCACCACTCCTGTACCTCTGGCCTGTACCCCAGTTCTGTATGTGCAAATAAATAAATCTTTAAAATATATAGCCCAGGGCTCTCCCTGGTGTCCCAACAGGTTAAAATACAGCACTGCAAAGCTATCCACAGCCAATGTAGCACAAGTTCCATCCTGGCCAGAGAGGTGACCCACATAGCGTAGCAGACCTCTTCTGTCTCACCCACTGCTCCCCTCAGCAGGATATTTCTGTCACTCTGCCTGTTCTGTTCCCCACTCTGTCTTTGGTGAATACTCCCACCCACTGCACCTCTGGCCTATAACCCAGTTCTTGTGTGCATAAATAAAGAAATCTTTTTTAAAAAGTTGTCCATAAGCTGATAAAATTAGGAATTTTATCATGTTTAAACTTTACTGTTTTTAAAAATATGTGAGTTAAATTCAAGAAGTCTTCCACTATTTGAAAATTATTTGTAAGGCAATAGCAGGCAAGTATACTACAAATTCATAGATGTATTACTATTTGGCTTGCATATATGGTCACATGTCAAGAAAGGTATTTCCTCCCTAAAGAAAGATTACACATAAGTATTTCAGAAACACATGCAATGTCTTAAATGATGCTCTAACTTTGCTGGCTGAAGTATATTTGTTTATAACATTCAAAATGCATTTACCATTTTAAAGATTTATTTATTATGCACCCAAGAGATGGAGTATAGGTCAGAGGTGAGGAGGGTAGAGGGGATGAGAGGATTTATCAGAGACAGAGTGGGGAGTAGAATGGCAGAATGACTGAGGGGGTTATTTCCCTGGCTAGGAATAGAACTCATGTTGCAGCAGCTGGTTACAGTTTGATAGCATTGTGTCTTTAACCCCTGTGCAACCAGGAAGGCCCCACATTTACCACTTTTAATTCAAAAGGCTCATGACAAATTAATCTTAATGTAGCAGACCAGCAGCACTACTGTAAACTGGCTGATTGGATCTTACTCTTTTTCTCAGGAATATTGATTTCTCAGTTGCTTAGAGAACTAAGGTGAAGGGGATTATATCTGCTTAGTAAAGTGCATGAATACACCTAGTGGTCACTATACATGAATGTGTTGGAGGTTAGCCAAGGCATAGAGAAAGCCAGCAGAGGTTGGATTTGAGTGACCTGATAATTCATTTTCAGGTAAAATAGTTCCTCAAAAATAGTACTTGATAAAGCATGCAGTTCAATCCCAAATACAGTTTTTTATAAAGCAGACTTAATTAGAGTTCTCAGAAATACCATGCAGAGGCAGCAATTATGTTAAAACAGAAAGACTCTTGGAGGCTGACAGATCTTGGTTTTAAATCCTTGTCCACTTATTAGATGTGATCTTTGTGCAATTACTTAACCCCCCTAAGCCTTCATTTCCCCATCTATAAAATGGAGACACCACCAACTATTTCATGAAGTTGGTGTGAGAATTGATCATGTGTATTACTTTTCCTTCTCTTCTAAAGTTTCTCAGTAGTTAAAACTACAGCAGAATTATGGATAAATTTCCTAAAAGAAATACTTCCATTAAATTTAAAAGACAATGACTTTTTTCTGGAAGTCACTAACTCAGTTTTCCTTACCCAGAAGAATGATAGCTAAGAATGGAGAGGAAATAAGTTACATTTTCTAAGAAGATTTTTGTTCTTCAAAGCAAATTGCAAGTCCTTTCCCACAATATGTTGAACCAGAATCATTTGTGTGAAAGGAAGTGATAGAGGTCAAGGAGGAATTAAACTATTATTACTTTGTTTACTGGGCTCATTAAAAAGGGTAGGTAAAAAGGTCACAGATGAAAGCCCGTCCCCAAGTCTTACTTGTTCCCTTTCACTTTCCATAGAACTCAATATTTGTCTATAACTGAAAATCTTCCTTTTCAACTTATCTGCCATTCCTTTTTTCTTTATGCCTGTGTGCACATCAATTTTTCTATAATTACCTCTACACTAAAAACTCTTTAATTTTTTAATTTTCATGCATTCTAAAAAGACCCTAATTTCATATCACCATAGATTTTCTATCTAAAACTAAGTATTTAGGGAGTAAATAATTTAAACACAGAATAACTTACTTATATATAAAAACCCACTGAGTAAAAATGAAAATTTTTTCTGTAGTGCAATAATGATAGTCTAAAAGGGTTTTTTTTTAAATGTTACAAAAAATAATATATGCTAACTTCAACTTACTAAGAGCTGGATGGCTGTCTATAATCTGTATTGGAATGGTCTGTACATCTCCCAGCAGAATCTGATGAACACTTCTTTCCAGATTCTCTGTAGGCTCAATATCTCCATCTTCCACCAACTGATCCACTGCAACCAGATTTTGATCTGATCCTGGAAGATTATCTAGTGTAGAGGCAACACTATTGTTCTGGGTTAGGCATGTATCTGTTTGAAGGCTATGACTCTGACCAAGCAGTAGAGAATTATTATTCATTACATCACTTCCTATTGAGTCCAGAAGTCTTGAAGGGCTGGAGGAAGGGTGGTTATTTACTGATATCAGAGTTGGTGATCCTTCGGGAGAGGTGAATCTTGGTTGCAACTGCAAACCCTTTTAAACCGAAAAGAGTTAAATGGAAATGTTTGATTTTACCATGTATGATTTTTCTCATATAGGATATATCATTTTTATGACATAAAATTAGAATAAAATGAATATAGTTACTACAAATATAAAGGCAAACAAAAACCAGAGGAAAAATAGTACAATTAAATTTTATCACAAGCATATTCAACTCAAACCTTTTCCAAACATTTGTTATCATCATAAATCAAGACACTAAGAAAATCAGAAAATTAATAATGAAAATATCTTTATTATTGTAATTCTGTTAAAATTCTCAAAAGAAGAAAGACTGAAGAAGAAAGTCCTCAATTTTGGCTGTTTTGCTGGATACCCACCTGCAGTTGTGTGAATATTTTTGGCTGAAATGAGGACAATGAGGACAGCAAGTGGGCTGGCTCTGGAGACAAAGAACCACTTGTCTGATGTGCTTCTCCTTTGTTGGTAACTGATTCTCCTGGAGAATTTCCTAAATTACATTAAAAAAAATTACACTAATTTTCATGCTTTCTAGAATACTGCACATTAAGAAAACTCTTGCTGCAAGAATGGTAATAGGAAAGGTAAAAGATTTGAAAGAAAGACTAAGAAGTTGGGCTTCCCTGACAGTGCAAGAATTAAAAGTTATCAGTCCTATCAAGCAATCACCAGCCAACAGCCACTGTGGATTGAGTATGAGTTTCATCCCTGGCCAGAGCGCTGGCCTACATGGCACAGCAGACCTCTCCTGTTTTGCCCATTGCTCCCCTCAGCAGTATTTCAGTAGATGTGCCTGTCCTGCTTCCCACACTGTCTCCGATTAATCTGCTTAGCCGCCACACCTCTGGCCTACATCCCAGTTCTTATATACATAAATAAAAAAAATAAATCTTAAAAAAGAGTTATAAAATAGGCCCTCCCTGGTTGTGCAGCAAGTTAAAGTACAACACTAAGAAGCTAAAGCCACTTCAGCATGAGTTCGATACCTGCCCTGGGAGGTGACCACATGGTGCAGCAGACCTCTCCTGACTCTCCCACTGCTCCCCTCAGGCAGTGTGCTTCGTTGACCTGACTGTTCTGCTCCCCACTCTGTCTCTGGTGAAGCCTCTCACCAACCCAGCAGCTCTGGCCTATACCCCAGTTCTGTATGCATAAATAAATAAATCTTTATTCCATGAAATTTATAAATAAATAGACCAGATAAGAATGAATTTATTTCTAAGTTTTTTATTTCCAATTTTCCAAACTCACTCTACTACAGTCATCCACTTGCTACTCTGGGTATACTTTGGCTCTTATTCAAAATCCCATTGTCTGAATATAACCTCTTATTCCTCCAGGATTTTGCTCAGATACTGCACTGAATTTTTGTTTAACTTCATGTACCTCCAAAATGATTCCTTAGTTTTCTTCAGCTATCAACCTCTTCTTTAATAAAATTTTCTCTCCATCTTCCTCAAAGTCTTAGAGTTAAAATTAGTCATTCTATTTATAAATAGTCATTCTATTGTCAACACTATATAAACTCTTGTCTTGGGTCATCTTCTTCTAGTAAAATGCTAACTCTGGATGAAAATTACTTCCAGTACCAATATAAGTGAAACTAAATACTAAACGAAAAGAAACTTGCTGTTACTACTACCCAGTAAAGATCACAAACCTCAGTCAGATCTTCACCTACATCTAACAACCTATAGTATTTCTCTTATACTTTCTTAGGAATGACAGAAAAACTCTGTTTTCCTGAAATCTTGGCCACCCTTTCTCAAATCTTTTCTAGTTTTTTTTTTAAGATTTATTTATTTATGCATACAAGAGCTGTGGTGTATGCTAGGGGTGCAGAGAGGTAAGAGGACCCACCAGAGACAGAGTGAGAAGCAGAACATCACATAGACTGAAATACACTGCTGAGGAAAGCAGCAGGTGAGGCAGGAGAGGTCTGCTTGCCATGTGGGTCACCTCCCTGGCCAGGGACCTAATTCAGCACTGCAGTGACTGGCAAGAGCTTCACAGTGCGCCGCTTTAATCCCTTGTACCACCAGCGAGGGCCCAACTTTTCTAATTCTTAATAGTCTTAAAGAGAAAAGTGAACCTTAAGGTAGAAATTTCAATGACTTTCCATTACCCAAACTATTGATTACCTTTTCCATCTATCTCATCACATCTTTCATGTCTTAAAATACCTTCCTCAAACCCCTTTCCTGTGAACGTCTTGAAAAGTGGACTACATCATCTCCATTCATCTCCTATACATTTTTCAAGTACCTAAGACGGTTTCCTTCCAATGCTATTTCACTGAAATGGCTGAATCTCAAGCTTTTAAAAACTGATCTCATGATTTTTGAAAAAAGATTTATTCATTTATGCATACAGAACTGGGGTACAGGCCGGAGGTGCGGATGCAGTGAGAAGATTCACCAGTGACAGAGTAGGGAGCAGGACAGGCAGATGGATGAAGTGTACTGAGGGGAGCAGTGGGTGGGTCAGGAGAGGTCTACTGTGCCATGTAGGTCACCACCAGGGTGGGGATCGAACTCATGCTGATTGGCTTTAACCCCTTAGTGCTCTTTTAACCCGCTGTACCACCAAGGAGGGACCTCTCATGATCTTTTTTTACCTTCTCCCACTACCACAACACCCTAAGCCAGTGTTGCTAAACTCAGTAAATGCCACTATTAGTTACTTGCTCATGGAAGGCAGAAGTCACTCCAGATCATTCCTATTTTTTCACTTCACATACCTACTCCATCAATAACCAAGACCTTTCCACTTTAAAATTTTAAAATTCTACTTTTAAAATAACTCTTAAATATGTCCAATTCTAATTTAAATGCCAACTGTGGTCTAAATCACTATCATGTATGATCTAGACAGCTGAAAAAGAATCCTACACGTGTTTTATCCAGTGTTATCTGTAAGCATTGTCTAACCTAAAAAGTTTTAAGTTCCTTAAAATTAACATTGCTTAGCCTTCAAACATATTCACTGACTGGCAAATTCCTATTCATTCTTTTTCTCTTAGTTTAAAAAAATCACCTACTAGGGCTCTCCCTGGTGGCGCATTATGAAGCTCTCCGAAGCCACAGCAGCATGAGTTCCATGCCCCACCAGGGACTGACACACATGCAGTGGTAGACCTCTCCTACCCAGCCTGATGCTCCCTCCAGCAGTGTATTTCAGTCAATCCATCTGTTCTGCTCCCTGTTCTTTCTATGGTGAAACTTCTCACCCAGCACACCTCTGGCCTATATCTTGTATGCATAAATAATTAGCCTGTAACTGAGTATCTTTTTCTTTCATGAAACTTTAAATTCAATGAAAGCAGGAAACTTAGTACTCTTTAGTACAAAGAATAACACAGTGAGTGAAATATGGGCAGAAAATTTTTATAATGCTAAAGAATTTAGAAGTTACTCTGTCTCCAAAGTAACTCTTTTAAAGGTTAGAAGGCTGAAGAATAAAAAATAATTATACTGTATATGTTATTCACTTACTGGTTTTTAAAGCATTTATTTAGAAGTTAGCAGGAACATGCAAGAAACTAGGTATGCCTACTTGAATAAAATATAACCCCTGACCCTGATCAGCTCAAATCACAATAAAAGGTACAGATGGGCCCTCCCTGGTGGTGCAGTGGGTTAAAGCACAGCACTAAGAAGCTAAAGTCACTTCTGCATGAGTTCAATTCCCGCCTGCCCCAGAGGAGATCCACATGGCGTGGCAGACCTCTCCTGACCCGCCCGCTGCTCCCCTCAGCAGTGTACTTCGTCCATCCGCCTGTTCTGCTCCCCACACGGTCTCTGTTGAGTCCTCTCACCCTCCACATCTCTGGCCTGTACCCCAATTCTGTATGAATAAATAAATCTTTAAAAAAAAAAAAAGGTACAGATGGACTAAAGGATAACATGTTAAAAATTAATTAATTAAAAAGGTACAGGTTAAATGAGAGGTAACTACAGAAGAGTAAATATCTAGCTTTACATGGGGGCAAAGTTGAGTGAGCACTTATTGAGTTTGGCATGTTAGTATGAGCGAAGTGGGCCATGCAAAAGAGGAGAAAAAGTACTGTTAGCAGATCAAAAGGTAGAAACAGCTTTGACTATGGAGAAAACAGAGAGTAATAGTACATAAAAAGGCAAACCATAAAAAATGAACAATAGGGGCCCTCCCTGGTGGTGCAGCAGGTTAAAGCACAGCACTAAGAAGCTAAAGCCACTTCAGCATGAGTTCTATTCCCCGCCCCGGAGGTGATCCACATGGCGCGGCAGACCTCTCCTGTCTCGCTCACTGCTCCCACTTTGTCAGTCAGCCTATTCTGCTCCCCACTCTGTCTCTGGTGAATCCTCTCACCACCCCTGCACCTCTGGCCTGTACCGCAGAGTTCTCTATGCATGAATAAATAATTTTTTTTAATAAACAATGGTTTTCTGATCAGGTAACTTAGTATAATTACCAGTAGAATTAGCCTAGTTTTATAATTAACTAGACTAGCAATTTTAATCATTAATTAACTAGACCAAATTTTAATCATTAGGAAACATAAAGCTGATGATTGTAAGAGAAAATTTAAACAGCTAGAATTATTTTGACAAATTCTAATATTACTGGTATTGCTTCTATAGCTCATGGTTCATTGTTACATAATTTGATTATACAGTATCTTAGAAGTCCTCAGTTTTAACATTATTTACTTCATAATTTAAAGGTAACTTACCTTCTGCAAATGTAACTGTTACAGTCTCTCTCAGAATATTCCCACTGTCTGTAGTCCACTGAAGCTGAAATGGGAACATTTATTTCATTTTTTGGGGAAAATTTATTTCAGTAGAATAAACAAAGCATTTATATTGAAAAAAATACTTACAATCAATACAATTGTCATTTTCTATTCAGTCATAGTATAACCATGCTTTATTCTGCAATTACTCTCTTCACGTGTTCACATTCTTAAAACACAGGTATACTTAACCATCTCAATATATCACCCTCTCAAGTTCGGATAACAAGAACACTGACAGCAAATGTAGATGACAAGGATCATTGCTAGCCAAACCAGTCTCAGTAACTGAATTTTGGGTAGTAAATAATTAAGAGTTTTGGATGGCAAAGAATAGTACCTCTAGCTTAAACAAACTCTGAATCTACTTTTTTTTTATTTTATAAATACATTTTTTACATTGTTCTTTATTCCTTTTTTCACCTCAGTTGTAATCCTGTGGACTTCCCACCACTACTACACCCATGTGCCATCACTATAGTCCCATGTGCTCCTCCCTCCCCAGTTTTGATCCTGTTCCTCTCTCCTCCCCCATAAATGTCTCTGGTTAATAGTTGTTAGTTGATGTTCTTTATTACTTTATTACTATATATATATATTTTTTTTCTTTTCTCTTTTTTTTTCCTAATCCCTTACACTCCTGCTATGAGTGAAACCATCTGGTACTTTTCTTTTTCTTTCCTGCTTATTTCACTAAGCATGATCTTTTCCAGTTTCATTCATGTTGCTGCAATTCCACAGTACACATATATCACATCTTGAATTTATTTAGTTATTGAATTAGCATAATAAATTTTGAAAAGTGATAGATACTGCATCTGAGATTTAATGCCATAATCAACTGTTTCATAATTAGCAGTTTCTGGGTAATTATAGTAATCTCTTTAGAGTAGGTAAAATTTTCTTAGAAACATACTGTATTTAGGAAGAACATACAGTATCATTGTATGAGGAGGTAAAATTTAAACCTATACATGATATATGGAACTAACATTATCACTTTGTATATTCAAGATTAAATTATCCTATTTAAAGTTGTCCATATATTTAAAAAAAGGAGATGTAAGTAGTATTTACTTAATAAATGTCTGTTCAGTGAGTAAGATATACCTTTCATGGAGACAAAATGTTGATTTTCAAATGGCTACTACCATTATTTTAGTTGAAGTTGGAAATTCACTCATATTTCTACTCAAGAATAATAAAAAAATTTAATCATCAGCTGAGAATTCAGTGTTTACACCTCTTAAGTGAAAGACAATAATAATTTTTTATTATCAGTTATTTATATAGCCTAATTTCAACCACTGTTATTTGGCTAAGTAGCAATAGAAATTGAGAAAGATTCTATATAAAATAAGGAAATACTGTTGTAAGCATACCGTTGCTGGAATAATCTCTGTGTTATACACATTATCTCCATTTTTCAAGGATTTCTGTACTTCATGGATGTGATTTTTTATATCATTTACAGTTGGAAAAAAGGATAAATTATGTCTTTCAGGCACCTCATCGGGTTTGAACAGTTCCCTTTCCACAAATTTTCTGTGGAAAATACAAGGTAAAGTAAAAACATAAAGAATGTAGCAATATAATATGAATTAAATAAGATAAAGACCCTTTCAGGGCAAACGTCTGTAAAGAATGATTTATAGTTTTATAAGAAAACTGTCTTTCAATTTTTCACTTTCCAGTAAGCCAAATCAGAGAATTCATGCAGATTAAAGAAACATCATGCTTTTGTTGGTTTAACATCTGTATATCTAAAAATGAACTTTGACATTTTTATGAATTTAAAGGAATCACTATTTCAAGTTTAAGTATAATGTTCTAAATGCATATTTATAAGTCAGACATACACTAAACAATTCACATCAATAATCTACTTTAACTTTTACTGTGCAATTATCATTCCCACTTTACAGACAAGGGAACTGAGAGCTGCAAAAGTTCATTAATTTGCCCCAAATTATATACATACCTAATAAGGAAGGCTGCTTTGGGCCTACATCCATAATAAGCAAAAACATTTATAATGCTTCCAAAAGGCATAAATTAATACCATATGAAACACATTATATACAAATTTTATAAGTAGACAAAAGAAATAGAAGTCAGTGTTGTCACATAATTGTATAAAAAATACACAAAAGAAATGAGAAAGTTAACTACATATGTGCTTTGTGTATTCCCTTTGAGACCATATCAGCTGCATTACACTCTGTTCTTAGGTCAATAAATAGTAAATAGGTTTTAGAAATAGTGGATGGCTTTACAAAATTCCAGCTGTTCTAACAATGCCTCAATGGAAATTAATATAAAATGTCTATGCTGCTAATAAGAAAAGTCACATATTAAATAATTCTATAAGGGCCCTCCCTGGTGGCGCAGCAGGTTAAAGCACAGCACTAAGAAGCTAAAGCCATTTCAGCATGAGTTCGATCCCTGCCCCAGAGGTGACCACATGACTGGGCAGACCTCTCCTGACCCGCCGGCTGCTCCCCTCAGCAGTGTACTTCGTCAGTCAACCTGAAGCCTCTCACCGTCCCTGCACCTCTGGTCTGTACCCCAGTTATGTATGCATAAATAAATAAATCTTTTAAAAAATAATAATTCTATAAGACACTCATTGTGTCATTCAGATCAGACCACATAATCAGTAGAATAAAGGTCAATTAAATTACAGAAATCATGGTGAAGCGAACAGGCTGTTGATTTTAGACCTAGTATTCAGTTCTGTATTTACCTCTTAACCCAGTAACTTAAACATTTTCTCAACTGCAGAATAGAGAGTCTCCATTTTCTCAACTGCAGAATAGAGACAAATATACCAACTGTATAGAATTATAACAATCAGTGTGCACATAAATATAGCACAATGCCTTAAGTACACCTCATACCAAATACTAATAATTATATCCTGACAATGAATAAAATTAGACCAGACTGCTATAGATAAAATTTCATTAGTCAAAGGACTGTACATATTCTTTTGTTGTAATAAAATTTAAATGCATTTCAAATAGACTAAAACAAATACCTTGCTCTAGATTTTAAAATCTTTGGTTTAATAAAGGGTTTTTCTGTAAAGGTATTTATTATACAATCCAATTTATATATCATTTAGTAACAGTCCAGTTTACCAAATCTGAATTTAAGATATCTTAAATGAAAAACCTGAATTATTACTCATGTTTTGCCAAACATCTAATGGAAAATGATCAGTTCAGAAATAAGATTATTTTAAATTAATAAACTATAATCCTTATCTACTGTAACAGGATATATACTAGAAAATGTACATAATGCTACGTGCATTATTTAAATCAACAAAAATGAAAAACCTGTGGAAAGACAAGTTGTTTTTATTGTACCTTAACTGTTTCCTTACTGCATATACTTGTTCTATTCCCTGTGATACTAATTCTTGAATTTTATGTGCAACTTGAGGATGCAGGCGGGAGGGTAATGCACAGTTCTCATCTCTAACTGCAGATTCCTCTTCTTCAAGAGAGGACACAGGAAAAGGGGAAGGTGACAAAGGACGGCAAGGAGTCTCTAATTCATGATACTGATGAGCCTGTTGGGTAGGTAACTGTACATACCACCTGACAATAGAAAATATTTAAAATTTCATTAGTCAACAAAGGCAAGAATCATAGTTACTTATGTTAATATTCATCAAGAAAAATACTCTCTTAAGAAAAAAAATTGAGTGTATCACACTAAATATGTATGAAAAATTTTAAGTAAAATTTAAAAATAAATATAAGTAAAATATTAAATGGCTTATCTTAACTCTTATAAAATTGGCTTTATACCCAATTAAATTAAAATCTTGAAAAACCTTCAGAGTTTCCTTAGGCCAAAAGTTAAGAAGGGAACAGGATATATGCATCTATGCATATATATATGTGTAGTATTTACTTAAAGTTCATATTAAGTTAATTCTACCCAATAAACAAGAGACTCAACTAAAAGGTAAATAAAGGGTCATCCTGCAATACAGATACTAGAAAAATGAAATGCTCTAATAGGATATTATTTAATTAATATTTTATAATGACTAATACTGCATGAAATGGAGCCTACTTAAAAATCATACACAATATTCTTCAAATTGAAGGATCTAATTATTGTCTATTCATGTTTTAACATGTGAAAGTATTTTTAAATCCACACAAAACCTATATTCCATAAACTTAACATCACTACATCTGGACTGACACATAAAAGAAAGCTGGTATTTTTTGGTATTTAAATTTTGAAGTATAAAAGATAAAAAATGGGACTTTATGAAACTTATAATTCACTTTTGGCTGCCATAAGCAACTAAAGGTAGGTTTTAAAACTATACAGATGATACCAAGCTTGGCTCCTAATAACTATCTGAAAGAAAGTACTAAATATATAAAGAAAAGTATTGCGATTTTGGAGAAAAACTTCCATGTGATATATACAGAATGCTTTGGTCAGAATTACCCATTACATGTGGCTTATAAACTTACTGGTTTGAAGAGTGAATCATTTTAATAGCTAGGGAACTACTAATGAGCATTTACTTTATAAAACCATTTCCTAATAAAATAAATGGAAAACATAATTAAAATTTCCCTTAAAGAATTCCATCAAATATAAGAAATTTATAGAATGAAAAACTACATGTCATACCTAAGAACACCACCAGCATCCACCAAGTTCTTCTTCAGCATGTTAAAGGCTTTCTCCTGCTCCATTCGAATTATCTTCTTGTCAATTTTGGGGTCTGTTGGAACTCTATATTCAGGAAATTTCTGTACCTTTTTAATGTAAATCCTTTTTTTAAAGAAAAAGTAGAATTTGTCTCATTATAATCAATAAAACATCAAACTTATCAACCTGAAATTTTAGCATTAAAGCTGAGAGAAAATTCAAATAATCTAAAGGGCGTTCATAGGATTATGTAAAAATATATGTAATATTTTCAGTGCATAATATTTAGCAAATTAATAATTATGACTACAGTAAAATTATCTAAATATTTATGGGTATTAAGGTATTTGTTTTGTTTTTGTTTTTAGGATTTGCCTCTTCTATTCTCTGGAAGCTATAAACATCTTATATCTAGATTTCTTTTAATGTAGGTCTTATTACTCTAGGATTTTGTGTCTACATACTTTCATTAGTGATATCTACTTAATATATCAACACCATAATAAATTTTCACATTTGTGTTTCTCTGTTCAAGGATCCATCTAGTAATAAGTATGAATTTTATGACAGTACTGAAAGCATTCTATATTATTCTAGCTTATTTACCTAGACTTTCAATTGCTTCAAATATAAAACTGATTTTCCTATGAAGTTTTATCATCTCAATTTTCTTTTCATGCTAATACCAAATATGCAATCACCCCATATCTTTATAGTTCTCCTGGCCTATAGCACCTTCCTCCTCTAATTCTTCACTCAACTTCAATTAAACTTCATTATCAAAATTAAGTTAATTAGTGTCCATGAATATATCCCTTCTCTAAAGATAGTTCATCCAAATATTTGATAATATGTACTATACTCTTAAGTTCTCTAACACTTTTCCATTTCCTAATCTACCCAATCTATCTTTTTTAAAGATGTGTTCTTTGGGGCCCTCCCTAGTCATGCAATGGGCTAAAACAGCACTATGAAGCTATCCACAGCCACTGCAGCACGTCACAAGCCCCATACCCTGCCAGAGAGGTGACTCACATGGCACAGCAGACCCTTCCTGACCCAGCCACTGCAACCCCTCAGCAGTGTGTTTCAGTACACCTGCCTGTTCTGCTCCCCACTTTGTCTCTGGTGAATCCTCTCATCCCCCACAACTCTGGCCTGTGCCCCAGTTCTGCATAAATAAGCAAATCTTTAAAGAAAAGAATTACTCCTTTATATTAAGGCTTTTATTTATTTATTTTGTGAAGAAGAGCAAGGGTTTAGGCCAGAGGTGCAGGAGTTGAGAGGACTCACTATGGACAGAGTGGGGAGCAGAATAGGTGGATCTGCTGAAATACACTGCTAATGTAGGTTAGCTTCCTGGCTGGTGATCAAACTCAGGCTGTCTCAATGGGCCCTCATTGCTGTAGTATCGAGACTTAACCCCTACACCACCAAGGAGGCCACCCCAAACAATCTTTTAAATTGTCTGTAATTAAGTAAAATCTTTTATCTTTTTTAGCCTCCATTCATCCCATGGCACCTAATGTACTTGCTGGGCGCAGCATACTCAAAGAAAGAACACAAAATGACAGAGAATAAACTTATTTTCTCACACACAAGGGCTTTTTCCTAATTATAACTAAAATTTTATAGTGCTTATGTTTAAAATGAAGCTGAAACTTTTGTCTCATTGATATGTTTAAGTATTAGCTAAAGTTAACATTAGATGATACATGATACTAGAGTACAACTTAAAAACTTGAGAATGCTGAGGTTTGTGAGGACCAAGATATAATTTTAAAATAAAATATTTCAAAGATAAACTAAACTTAACCTATACATGCTATCTCTTAAAAAATTATTTTGTCTGCTAATTTAAAATTTTCAGTATCCAAAAAGAAAATCAGTAAAGGACATTACAAAAGTCTTCTGTTGGTTCATGCTTTTGATTCTTACAAGAATCAAAATCCTATTTAAAGCAGTAGTAGTCACACTGGTATGATATAATTGGTAAAACTGCTCTAGAAAACATTTTGCAAACCTATAAACATTTTTTAAAAATACAACTATTGTCCTAGCAATTTGAAGGAATTTATCCTACTAATATATTTGTACACATTTACAAACATGTTCAATATTATTAACTGTAATTTTACATACAATAAAGTATACTTTTCAGGGCCTAGAGGTCCATCATTAGAGGACTTATACAAATAACTCATTCATTAATGAAATATATGATTATTAAAGTCACAAAATTAACATGATGTATCAATTAAACATAGAAAGAGGTAGGTGTTTTTATGTTCAGATATGGAACCAACTTTAAGATATATTGGGAGTGAAAAATAGGCAAATTTAGAAAAAACAAAGAGTAGAATAATATATGTTAATGTGAATTTACAGTAGGAAAGACAGTATACTACCATCTAACTTTAGCAGTTTGAGGAACCTCCAAACATTTTTCCATAGTGGCTGTCTACCATCTAACTTTAAAGAAGGAAAATACTAGTAAGTTTTACTAGTATCTTCAACATTTATGAGGGCTTAGGAGGACACACACACATTTGTATACATATATATACATACATATACACAGAGTGCCTTGGAAAGTTACTCAAGAAATTTTTAAGAGTTGATGCCTCTTACCAGGGAGGGAGCAGGGGTAAGGGGAAACAGAATTTACTTTTTGTCACTGTTTAAAGTTAATAAAAATGTGCATATTAGCTATTAAAAAATAGCTAATAAAATAAATATAATATTAGTAAAATAAATAAAAAGGAAAGAAAGCTTACCGAGCTGGACAAGTGGCTTTGTAGAGTTGGCAAGACCTGCTTTCCTGTTCACTGATTTTTTTTAACTGGAAACCTTTTCTTCTTGGCCCATATTGACACTCCATTACCACAGCTCTACTCCCTGTGGGCCAAAATCAACTAATGATATTAATTCAAGTATCCATCTGTTCTGGATACTAGATTTAAAATAACTTGGTGGCAATTTCAAAATTTATGCTTTTAGTTATTCAATTTAAAGGAAAGACAACATCACTAAGTCTCCCTAAGATGTACTAACATATAAATTTAAAAGTTTATTGTAACATTTACCAAGTTATGGTAGGAAACTAGCAAATGTCACATTTACTGAATGTCTACTGATATTATAAAATTTAGTAATGAAATTTTTAGTAATAAAATTTACTACTTTAATATAGAAATTAGCAAATGTTACATGTTAATGAGTATTAATGTTATTTAAATTGTTATTTCCTTTTATAATTATTTATTTCCTTGTATTTAGTGGACTGTTAGTTTGATAACCAGTCTCTAAAATGGCCTCCAATGAACCCCGGATACTAGTACTCAGGTTCTTGCATGATTCCCTCCCCTTGACCATGAGCTAGACTTATTAACTTAACGTCTAATGTAAGTTAGGCAGAAGTATCAGGATGTTGTTTTTAATGTTAGGTTATAAAAAGATTGTGACCTCCATTTTGGGTACATACTTGCTCTTGATTAAATTGCTCTCTCTAGGCAAAATCAGCTGTCGTGGTGGGACAGTTATAGGAAGAGGCCCATGTGCAATGAATAAGGCCTGTCAATAACCACATGAGTGAGCTCAGAAGCAGATTTTTCTCCAGTCAGGCCATGAGGAGCTCCAGCCAACACCTTAACTCAAGTCTCGTGAGAGACCGTAAGACAGAAACTCCTTCCTAAGCCATTCTTGGACTCCTGACCACTGAGATAAATAAATGTTTGTGGTTTTCAGCTACCAAGTTTGGGATAATTTGTTACATAGCAATAAACATACAAATAAATAGATGTGGAAAATATGTAGTTCAATCTTTTAAGTTGGATATTCTACTCTCCATAGGGTACTATCAAGCTTTGAAGATATAAAGTCATAGCCACTTGTTATAAAGTAAAATGTTGATAAAGCTGAAATTAGGGCCCTCCTTGGTGGTGCAGTGGTGTAAAGCACAGTACTTCAAAGATTAAGCCATTTCAGCATAGTTTAAGTCTCAGCCAGGGAGGTGACCCACATGGTATGGCAGAAATTTTAAAAAAAGGATTTTTTAAAAGATTTATTTATTTATGCTTACAAAACTGTGGTACAGGCAGGAGGTGTGGTGGGTAAGAGGATTCACCAGAGACAGAGTGAGGAGCAGAACAGGCAGATCTACTGAAATACACCACTGAGGGGAGTAGCAGGCGAGACAGGAGAGGTCTGCTGCACCATGTGGGTCACCTCCCTGAGCAGGAATCAAACTCATGCTGCAGTGGCTTCGGAGAGCTTCATAATGCAGTGCTTTAACCTGTTCTGACACCAGCGAGAGCCTTTAAAAGGGTTTTTTTTAAGATTTTTTTTTTAAATTTATGCATACAAGAACTGAGGCAAAGGCCAGTGGTACGAGGGGTGAGAGGATTCACCAGAGAGAGTGGGGAGCAGAACAGGCAGATCAACTGAAATACACTGTTGAGGGGAGCAGTGAGCAAGACAGCAGCAGTCTGCTGACCATGTGGGTTAGCTCCCTGGCTAGAGATCAAACTCATGCCACAGTGGCTGGTGAAAACTTCATAGTGCTGAGACTTTAACCCCTGTGCTACCAGGGAGGCCCAAGAATAAAAAGGATATTAAATGAACAAATGAGTAAGATGTTTAGCTTCATTACTTACGTAATTAGGGAGATGCAAACTAAAATAATACAAAAATATTATCTTATACTCTTCACTGTGGTCAAAAGTAAAACCAAGAGTCTAAAACAACTGAATCCACTGATCTTCCCTACCACCACAAAATGGCATGACACACAGAGAGCAATAAAATGTGCAAAGCACACTTGTAAAGTATTCTTGCAAAAATCAAGTCTGTACTCAAACCTTTAGAGCCAACAGTTTATAGGAAATATAGAAGATAAGATAACACATTAAAATACACACAGAGATGAATCGCCAAAATCTACAATGTGGCAAACAAAACTTGACAGGACAATTACCCCCCAGGAAAAGAGAAATTTTTAGATGAAAAGAAATTTAGTATATATCTTAACCAAAGTAATCTATGGACTAAGTCTGGATGTGAATTTGAACAAAACTATGGAAAAAGAATTAGAAGTAGAGAAAAGTGAACATCAGAATACTTATGACATTAAGAAATTACTATTCATTCTTTTAGAGGGTGATAATGGGATTGTCTGAATAAATTTTATCTTTTATCAATATATGCTTTAGTAATCATAGATAAAATAATATATATATGGAAATTGTTGTAAAATCATTTTGGGACTGGGAAATGTGGAAGCAGGTAGGGATAGAGATGAGACAGGATTTATAACAGGGTGGCCCCCCCAAAGCGGGAATGTTCCACGTTCTTGCCCTACCAAGGGAGTGTAGGGCTGAACAAGTAGCAGAAAAGCTGGAGACTGGGGAAGGAAGCAAGAAGGATGGAGAACAAGGAGATCTGGAGGAGATACATGGAAAGAAGCTGCACTTGCTTTTAGGTCCTGGACTGGTTGAGAGAACTGGATGAGAGACCTGTGAAGAAGTTAACAATGGCAGCCCTGATCTTGATTTGATTCTGCTCTTTTTCTTTCAAATTTGTTTGGCTGCTTTGACCCTTTTTTATAGGTAAAACCAAGAGTGCTTTCAAATTGTGCTGGCTCTCAGGCCTCTGTGGCCATGCTTTGGGCCAACCCTGTTTAGCTGGGCATACCCATGAGGGGATGAGTGACTTTGGGTGCTTGATTTGGAAATGATATTCTCCTTTCTTCCCTTTTCTGTGTTACACAGTAGTTATATTAAAGTTCCTTTCCACTAAAAGTCTTAAACACGAGTATGTTTTGTCTTGATGTGACAGATGACAGAACTGATTTAGGGTGAACAGGTTTTGGGGTGCCTCTCACCCTGACTGATCATAGACTGATGTTATAGTTGTTGAAGCTGGAAGATAGATACCTGAAAACATGAGATTCTGTATATCATTACCTTCACTTTGGTAACATGAAAATTTCTATAATGTAAAGATTTTTAAAAGTCTACAATGCTAAGTCATGAAGTAAATGAAGGAAAGGGAATTATTCATACATTGCTAAAATGAATAAAAGCTGGTACAGATGGTCAATCCCTGAAATCTAAAAAGCTCAGAAAACAAGCTTTTCTAACTCATTTGGCTGCAAAGTCTAACCGGTCTTATATTGTTATTTAATCCTCTTAGTGTGCCTATCCATAAAGTACTACTTCGCCGAGTAAGTGATGATGTTTATGAAATACGTGGCAGTATTCTGTATTACAGTATTATACTCTAAAAATACAGAACTGGACCTCCCTGGTGGCACAACAGGTGAAAGCGCAGCACTAGGAAGCTAGCCACAAACACTGTAGCATGAGTTCAATCCCCCATCAGTGAGGTGACCCACATGGCACAGCAGACCATTCCTCTCTCACCTGCTGCTCCTCTCATCAGTATATTTCAGAAGACTCCTCTGTTTTGTTCCCGAATCTGTCTCTGGTGAATCCTCTCACTGCCCACCCCATACCTCTGGCCTGTACCCCAGTTCTTGTATGCATAAATAAATAAATCTTTTTTTAAAGAAAGGATCAGATTGGAATTAGGGCCGGGGAAGAAACTGAATTTTTTTATATAACATTGATAAAACCTGGACAGAAAAGGTTGCATTTATCTCATCTCCCTTACTTTTCCCTTTACTCTCAGAGGAATAGTAAAAGACTTTTCAATCAGTAATGTTATCATCCTGAAATAACTTATTTTTAGAGCCCTTGGGGTCCGACTATTTTTACAGCAAATCACTTGGAGTTCCTTAAAACTCTATGACTTTAATAAATACTAGCTTAGAGTTTGAGAATACTGTATGTAGCACACCTGACAATTAAGAATGTTAACATTAAAATATAATATCTGCAGGTAGCATACAAGTTCTATACAGTAACTCCAGAGTAGTAGCTATATATAATGAAAACAAACTTGTCTCATAAGAAAAATTAAGACAGAGGAGATATTATCTGGGTTGGATATAAAAGATGCCAAGAGACAAGGGTATTTAAATAAAATTGCTCTACTGTTTAATTTTATTAAATAGGTTTATCTGGAATTTCAATATTTATATTTTCTATTTATCATCATGTTTATAGAAAGTATTACTTATTTTATTCTACTACATTAAAATGCTATATAACAATAACTGATTATACTTAGTGTTCTTTCTAGTATAATATGCATTTTCATCTATTAATATTCAATTAGCAAAGTGAAAATGTATCACTTTAGAAAAGCTGTATTTTCAAAATGGATCAGGCTATTGCTGACCCTTTTAAAATAATTCTTTTAAAAAGTACCTGCATTGACAAATGGAATTCCATCATATGGGACATATTGGGACTTCCACATCAAGCGTGTAGCTGGCTTGGCTGGGCTTGGAGACTGGCGGGTCCCCCAAACACTCTGTGTCTGCTGCTTGTGAAATGTTAGAATACTTTCTAATTCAGTCTCACTTACACAGTAGCCCCGGTACGAATCTCCAATTTTCTGTATGTAGTATAAATTAAAATACAAATTATTAGCAAATATGTTTCACTGTACAACAAATTTGATAGTTGAAAAACTCATCAGTTTTGAAAGAAGAATTTCATTTACCCCCTCATATCAATTATCTATTTGCAACCAGTAAGTCTGACTAAAATTCAAGCATTTTCATCAAGTAGATCATCTTCAGGTATTTGTTATAAGAATATAATACCAGTATCATTGCCATACTACAGCAAGTGCATAAATAACATCTTTTTGCCATGAAGATTATTTTGTAAGAATACTAATGAGGAAAAAACAATCAATCAACAAGCACTAAATATGTGGAGTCTACACAATCTTCCAACATCTGTGTGGTTATTTCTCTGATACTCCAATTTCCTCCCATTTCCCACAGCTGTTCACAGCAACTGGTGTGTCCTAACTGTCCCAGTATGAGAGAGTATTATGGTGTGAGTGTGTCTTGCAATGGAATGGCATCCTGTCTAGGATTGGTTTTAGCCGTGTGCCCTGGGCTGCAGGCATAGATTCTGGGTACCTTTGACCCACAGCTGGAGAGGGCTGGACATGAATGTATAAATACAAATTATAGCTTAATGCAAGAAGTGCTTCGGGTCCTTAGTTGGAATTTTGGTAGTGCTTTTTTAAGCAAAAATATGCTGTAGGAAATTAACTTTTATTTATGTCAACTAGCCTATGGGAAAATTGGTTTCATTATATATTCTTTTGCTTCCAGTCTCACTTTTCAACAATTTATCTGCAGTGATATTGGGATGTACTGTATCTCTATCAAAATATGTTTGAGAAAAATGTTTAGAGGACAGGTTGATGAGAAGACTGTATTCATTCAACGAGATATTTAAAATTCTACCCCTGATTCAACCAAATCAACAAAAATATCCACAAGTACTGATTCATTGGGGGATTTCTTTTATTGAAACTAATTTTGATACAATGTGATTAGTCCTGTTTGAAAAACTTTATCCTATGAAAATGATCTCAAAGATTGGTTTTTGTATCAATACCCTTTTTATGAAGAATCCTTCTCTAAAAGAAATTCTTGTCTATCAAAAATAGACAAGAATTTTTATCTTACGGAAATGACTATTTTTATATTTATATACTGGATACAGACTTTATTAACTAATCTTCCTTTTTGAAATGTACAAACTTAAATTATTGACAAGTATGTGTTGTTTAAATATACAAAGAGCACATTAAGATATATATTTCTTACTTCCATTTTATAGTTCTATTCTTGTTTTTCTTTATCTTTTAGCCCCATTTTTAATTTCGACCTGCTAAGTTATTTTATTTATTTTTGTAAACTTTCAATCTTTCTGAAACAATGCAGAATATAAATGACATAAATACACTGATATTATCTACCCAACATGAGAGTATCCCTCAGAAAAACTTTTTTTATACCAATAGAGGAAATTTGTTAACAGTGGTATCTTTCACTAAAATACATACAGACCTAAGACTGACTCCACATTATATGTTTTTTCCTTAGAGAAAATAAAAATTGTGAGAATAGGGACTTTGTTCTTCCTCATTAAACTAAAATTTCACCTTCCAATAATATAATAAACAAGAGGAAGAGATAAAAGTACTGCTGTGGCTATATTTTTGCACATAATAAAGACATAGTGGGGAGACAATTTATAATTTCCCTTAAAAACAATGAAAATGCCTATTTTTATAAATTTTCTTCTAGTCTACATGAAGAAATCTTCATCAAAATAAGCAGAACAAATAAATGTAGAAACATAAAGTTTAGCTATCATGAAATTATTACAGATAGATTGAATACACTATATAAAGTTGTCAATAAAAGGAAAAATTCACTCAGTATAGGATCAGTATATGGTATAAACAATAAAGCACTATCAGTCCTATATCAAAAGAGAAACATTCAATAAAATCTGAAAATTTACCCAAGTAGTAACTTTTGGCCAAATCTAAATAATATCTACAGAAAAAAAAGAAATCACTAAAAAAAAAACTCAAAAGGAAAAAAATTACTAAATAGAATTTTGAGGGTTTTTTTACATATATATACTTATTATATATATATATATTTTACATCATTCTTCATTTTGCACATTTTTTTCATCTTGGTTGTAATCCCCATGGACTTCCCACCAGCAGTTCACCCATGTGCCATCACCACAGTCCCATGTGCCTTTCCCATCCCAATTTTGATCCTATTCCTCTTCCCTCCCCCATAGAATGCCTCTGGTTTTCTGGTTAGTTGATTTAGTTTTTACTGTATTACAATTTTTCCTCCCAACCCCTTGTATTCCTGCTATGAGTGAAACCATCCAGTATTTTTCTTTTTCTTTCTGGCTTATTTCACTAAGCATGATCCTTTCTAGCTCCATCCATGTTGCCACAAATAGCATGAGTTTATCTTTTTTGATTGCTGAGTAATATTCCATTGTGTATATGTACCACATCTTCTTGATCCAGTCATCTATACAGTATTTTGAAACAAAATGAAAAAGATTTTTGTTTTAAAGACATATTTATTTATGCATACAAGAACTGGGAGGGTGCCAGAGGTGCAGGCCAGGGATGCAGGCCAGGGATGCAGGAGGGTGTAGATTCACCAGAGAAAGCACAGAAAGAACAGATGGACTGACTGAAACACACTGCTGAGGGGAGTAGCAGGGCAGGACAGGAGAGGTGTGCCATGCTATATGGGTTATCTCCCTGGCAGAGGATCGAATTCATGCTACAGAGGCTTCAGATAGGTTCATAGTGCTGCACTTTAACCCTTTGTGTCACCAAGCAAGGCCCTGAAAAAACATTTCTTTAACCATTAACTAAAAACATATTTTACCACTAATATGCTTAGGAAGAAAAGGAAGACTCCTTCACTAGCAGAGACTACTGACGATTCTGTTTTAACTACCATAGTTAAAACAAATTTAACTACCATAGTTTCTTATAAGATGTCTGACTTTAGGTAAGCTATATATATGATGATGCACCATAGTTCTAAGATAAGGTGATCTGGCTACATTACTGCTATGCTTTAATGTCAATAGCATTTTATAAAGTTTATTATGATGGTTTTAAAAATCTTCATCAAAAATAACAGGAGTACCTTTACAAAACCACTGAAAAAATCTGCCTAACAAGAAAATATGAGGGAAAAATATCTTCAAATGTAAATAATTATTTAATGATGGGGATACAGTCTAAGAAATGCATGTCAGAGGATACATAAACCTAATGGTATGGCCCATTGGGAACACTGCTGTGCACATGTTCATCACAGATTAAAAGTACTATTGCTAAGCAACGTAAGACCTATGTGTTTGTGTGTGTTTATACATATAACTTAAGAAAGTACTAACAGTGATATTGTCCTACAAGACACCTCATTACTAGACATTATAAGAAACTTGCTGAAATATTAAAATTTAGGTTATTATTTTCCTTCCCATATTTTAAAATCTGAATATATTTTAAAATCTGATTTTAAAATTAAACATTTCAATGGTTAAATACTTATATAAACCATGATCTGGTACAAAAGGGAGAATTAAAAAAAAACAGAATTAAATAAACATTTCATAGTAATTTTTTAAAAAGAGGTATAGGTCAATGAAATTAATAAGCTCCCACAAGGATCAAATACAGAGAAACAGGACACGATCAGTGATCTCTGAGGAAGTTTCACTGACTATATGAAAAGTGTTAGCAAAGAAAGAGAAGAAATAGACAAAAGTAGAAAAACATGATAGTGAAGTTTTGTGGAAGAAAAGGGAATAGAATTGCAAGAAAGAAATAGTGTGAGGGCCTCCCAGGTGGTCTAGGGGTTAAATCTCATTGCTATCACCACTGCGACTTGAGTTCAATCCCCAGTCAGGAAGCTGACCCACATATGGTGAAGCAGACCTATCTTGTCTTGCCTGCTGCTCTCCTTAGCAGTGTATTTCAGTAGATCATTCTGTTCTGCTCCCCACTCTGTCTCTGGTGAACCCTCTCACTTCCTGCCTATACCCCAGTTCTTCTACACACACACAAATTATAAAAAATAAAAAATAGTGAAGTGTGAAGGGATTTTTATGATCTCTGCTTTAGTAACATTTACACTCTTTGAGGAATTAAAAAATAGATGAAAGCATAAACATGAACAAAAAAATCACATATACTTTAATTTGCTGTACTTAAAAAGACACTTGGGGATAAAATGTAGGTACAATTAATTAAGTAAATGTAGGCAAGGATTTGTTTTTCTTTTTACATCATTCTTCATTTTGTACATTTTTTCATCTCAATTAGGCAAGGATTATTTTAAACTCACCTCACAGCTCCTAAGACGGCAGGCCCATATAGGTGTGTTAGAAGAAAGTGGCTGCAGAGGGGCCAGCAAGGGTTCCTCAAGCATTCTGGGATGGGAAGGAAGATCTATGTAAATATTTACTATAATCTAAATATACATACATAAATACACACACACATTACTCAATTCCTTTATATAGTATCAATGATGATACATTAAGGTCATCAATTAGAATATATTTGGGTTATCAACAAGAAACTGTAATAGTAAATTCAGACTAACCATGTGGGTATATTAATATCATTTACCTCAGTCATTTAGTCATATAGTATTAGCTGCTAAAGCAATGGTCTTTTCCATGTAACCAAATCCCAACAAATTCAAACATTTTCTCTCTCACTCACTCAAAGCTTATTTTTGTACTCTTCTCTTTATATATTTTGTAATAAAAAATACAGGCTAATAAAACACCTTCAGGTGACTTGTTAAGGGTAATCTGATATTATGTGACATCAGACAAATTAACATATTATATTAAGTTCTAAAACTGCCAGAAAATACCAATTCAAAAAAATTCTCAAGAAAAATTAATATAAGTATTCAAAAATTCATGTCTGTATGTCCCTAAATTGTTATAAGTAGGGTTATCTTAGGCAAAAGTAAAAGCTGAAACAGATGTTAACAAAAACATTTTAAAGCTTCACCAGAGGAATTAAACGCATGAAATCATTAAAAATTTTAGGAACTACAATGGGTATTTCTGAATCCCAAAAATTGATAGTATCAGATGCTGTCAGATTGTTTCAAAAGGTAAAGGCAAGTATAACTAAGGAAAAGGAGTGCTGTGGACACGTGCACCTTTAGAGTACTCTCTTTGTTAGGTATTAAAAATAACTGAACATGGATCTGATGATAGTTTATTTCTTGAATTTCTGAACTTTTCTATAGTCAGTCAGCTTTAGATGAGATAATGTAAATAATATTTCCATGATATCATCAAGAAAAGGGGAATGAACTCCCTTTTCCACTGACTCACCTGGTTACTGTCTTTTTGGGCAATGTAAGGGATGCTTGTGGATGAAGAATATAATTGCTGGTATTGTCTGCTAAAGCATCAACTCTTACAGTTGGTAAGTTTCTGTCATTGGGTTTCTCTTCAGAAACATCTTGACAATAATAATAATAATAAAACATTAATATCTTGAATAAGAACATGAGAATGTAGATAGAACTCATATATTTGTAAGGTAAAATATGCTCTGAAGCCAAGATAACAAAATTTATAATGTTTTATTGAGAATTTCTCTGATTAATTTGTTCACTTTCAAGGTATAGTACTGACTACTAAAATTCTGCAGTAAGTTTTGGAACTTATATTGAATATCTAGGACATAAAAGTGATAGAAATAATTGCTATAATACGAGTTGTACAATATAGTAGAATAATGTGAAATTAACCTTTTTGTTTCTATACCATGTTTACAGTGTTTTCTGTGAATTTTTTTAAGTTTTAATGACTGTTACTTAAGACAAAGAATCACAACACAAAGGTAAAAATATTTGCCATAAATCTTTAGCTATGAAAGAGCAACAGGACATTGCTGCTATGATGTTAGGGAAGAGAGTCAAACAGGTAGAAAAGGCAGGAAAGCAAAAGGAAGTAAACTAACAGGGATATTATCAAATAAGTAAAGAAATAACAAAACGAAAAGAGAAGTATGAGTCTCCTTTCTGAATCTGAAGAAATGAAGGAAAGAGGGAAAGAGGATGAAAAGAATAAAGAACAGTCAAATGGCTAATAACATCGATAAAAAAAAATGTAGAAATTTTGCCAGAAGCTATTAGCACTATAGTCTTTTTATTGTTGCTGTTATTGTAACTATTGCTATAATTAAGAAGAATTTATTTTATGCTCACTGGTCATTTGGGAGGAAGCAAGAGTCAACCAGCTTCATAGAATTCCAAAATGAAATAGACAGCTAACCTAGACAGGAGTTAAAAAATGAACTTGAAGTTTATTTGGGCTAAGAAAGGTTTTCCTAGTTATTCAGTTCACAATTTCACCTACAGAGATCAAATTTAGCACTGATTTCCATGAGATGATTTTCTGAAATATTCTCAAATTCTACATATCTCATTATTACTCACCCTGCAGACCATTCACATTCACAAGTTGCCCCTGAGGAATAATCACTTGAGCCAGTCCTGTCTGGGTGGATGGAATTACATGAAGAACCTGTCCATTTTCTGAAGGGCTGGCAACAATCATCTTGGTAACATTGAAAAAAAAAAGTTTTAATAAGCTTATAATACTTTAATAAAATTATGTTTAAATAAGCGATGGGCATGCTTATCTCTTCGGTGGTTATAAATTGTTAAAGACATATTTATCTCTATGATGGTTACTATTACTTCCTTTCATTTTATAGATGAAAACAACTAACATACATAAAACATTTTTCCACAGCCTCACAACTGAGAAGTGATAAAGCCAGAGATCAAAACAGAAAGTTTGAGCCTATGCTCTATGATCTTAACTACATACGGTCTTAATTACTACTTAATAATCTGGCAAGGCTCTAACTATTATAAGCTTAATATATTATATATTCCTGTATGAAATATTTAAGTCAACTAATAATAAATTAAAGTCAACTGGTAAGATTAATTAATGTTTTACTAAGTATGTTACTGCTATACAGTTACTTATAATCTATACTTACCATTTGTGCATTAGAATCCCCCAGTGGCTGAAGTTCATATTGAACAGGTTGTCCATTTTGGTCTACCAGATGGAATTGTTCTGCAGAAAGAGTCTGTGTCTGATTCAGGGCCCCAGGGATAGCCTGTGATGTGAGTGAATTTTCTGTTTCATGAGTAGTGCTTGGTAAAATTCTTGAAGAACCATTTTGCCCAAAGGATGGATCCCTGGAATCCATACAAGTCAGATGCTTTTGCAAAGGAAAAAAAATCATTGGAGTGCTTGTAAAATAAGGTGCTACTTGTCTTAATAGAATGTTTGTAATAAAAATATACATTTATTTTTCAGCAAATTATTCACTTTACTTCTTCCAAGAGTTATCTATTCAGACTGATAAAGACAGAAAGCAGCAAAGTGGAATTGTTGATTTTAACTATATTTACAAATTTTAAATTGAATTTTACATATGAATGAATCCTGAAATGATTAATTCAATGTAAATTTTTTCTTATGCACAAATTTTAATGAATTACTCAAAGTAAAACTTTCTACATAATAGGAGAGTTAAGTGGATAAATGTTAAAATTCTTGAGATGATACTTATCCTCAAGCATAAAAAGTTGCTAAATGGCATGTTGTTTTCCCAGTTGAATCCCTTATCCTCAAGCATAAAAAGTTGCTAAATGGCATGTTGTTTTCCCAGTTGAATCCCAACCTCAAATACCTGAGAATCTGTTTTTGACTCTTTGGAATCATTATGGTTGACTATTAGTGAATCAGACTGTTCCATGATGAAGTCATATTCAGTTCCATGTTCTTCTATTATTTAATAGCTGAAAAAGTTCAAGTTTCTAATCAGCTATAACACTTAACATTTATAGTACACCTATTTTAAACAAATCTGTCATCTCCTCGATTGTATTTTCAATTTAATCATATCCAGTCTATAGATAAGAAAATAAACATTTTTTTAAAATTACATAGCAAGGCATGAGAACACATTCAAGGCTAAGGTTAACATTATATAGTCCCTTCATGCTGCCCTAATTATAGTTCTGTGTTAACCTGAAAGAATGCTGTTTTATGATTACTTAAAATATATAAATTCTCATTTTACAAAGATTTTTGCACAAATAAAGGCTTTTAGTATTTTAAGTTAGGTGCGGACTTTTAGAGAATGAGGTAATTTTAGGAAGAATTTCATGGTATAGCTAGGGATTACACATAGCTCTCACCTTTTTATACAATCAAGCCACTTAATATTGGCTTGAAAATGAAGATACATTTCCAGAAAGCTTGAGCCATGTGAGACCTAGGAGGTTCTCAGTAGGTGGTGATTTTCTCTCTCTCTCTCACACACACACATATACACACACCCTTCATCTTCCAGGATACTGCAGAAGTATTTTTGATTGTGTTAGCTGCAACTTCAGAAGTATTTTTGGTGTGTGTTACCTGGAGGGAAGAGTATTACCAGTATCTAATATGGAGAAGCCAGATAAATTGTTAAAATGGTTGCAGTGCACTAAGTTCAGTGGACAGCTCCCACAACAAAGATGTCCACAGTGCTGAGCTTCAGATAACTTAGCAGAGCATATGATGCTACCTACAGGTCTATATTTGCTAAATGACATTTTATGTCTAAAAATTGGAACAAGGTCAAAATGAAATTGGTAAAGAATACCACTCAAAAATATAAAATAAACTTCATAAAATCATTTTTTTAAAGACTTATTTATTCAAGCAGAACTGGGGTACAGGCCAGAGGTGCAGGGGTAAGAGGATTCACCAAGGACAGAGTGGGAAGAAGAACAGACAGATGGCAGAAGTACACTGCTGAAGGGAGAAGCGGGAAGGTCAGGAGGGGTCTGCCTCACCATGTGGATCACCTCCAGGGCCTGGGATCGAATTCTCACTGAAGCAGCTGCAACTAGCTTGCAGTGCTGCACTTTAACCCACTGCACCACCAGGGTGGCCCCCATGAAATCATTTTAAGAGCCCTTCATTTTTTGAAAACATAGCATGAATTCATTTTACTAAATCTTTAGAATTTTTTAAATTAATATGAATAAAATTGAAACTTTTTTCTAGTATATAGGTGTATGGGTTTTAACACAAGTAATCACCACCACAATCAAAATACAGAATAAGTCCATCACCCCAAATTCCCAAAAGTTCTCTTGCCAATCAAACTAATGATTTCTGACCCATCCCTAAATTACAGCTCCAACTATGTAGGCTGTGTAGTCACTGAAAAAAACTCATTATATAAAAGACTCAACAGCAGAGCTTGGGAAGGAGAGGCAAGGCATTCCAAAGACTTACTCCAAGTTTCCTAATAGGTGACCCGATCCCACTACAGATTTTCTCTACAGACCTACTACTTTTTAAAAAAATGTATCTTCTCTTATGTACCTAAAATTTCATCAATGGAATGTTCACTCATTTTAATAAGCATTTTCTCTTATAAATAAAAAAACCTGGCCCTCCCAAGTTGGGACACAGCACTGCAAGCTGGCCACAGCTGCTTCAGTGTTATAAGTTCGATCCCTGGCCCTGGAGGTGACCCACATGGTGCAGCAGACCTCTCCTGCCCTGCCCACTGCTCCCCTCAACAGTGTATTTCGTCAATCTGCCTGTTCTGATCCCTACTCTGTCACATCTGGTGAATCCTCACACTGTCCCTGCACCTCTGGTCTGTACCCCAGTTCAGCATAAATAAATAAATCTTAAAAAAAAGAAAAAACTGGCCCTCCCTGGTGGCGCAGCGGGTTAAAGCACAGCACTGAGAATCTGAAGCCACTTCCGCATGAGTTCGATCCCCACCTGCCCCGGAGGTGACCACATGACGCGGCAGACCTCTCCTGGCCCGCCCGCTGCTCCCCTCAGCAGTGTACTTCGTAGATCTGCCTGTTCTGCTCCCTACTCTGTCTCTGGTGAAGCCTCTCGCGGCCCCTGAGCCTCTGGCCTGTACCCCAGTTCTGTATGCACAAATAAATAAATCTTTAAAAAAAAAAAAAGAAAAAAAAAACTGTAGAAAGGGTTATCAGTCATTAACAAACTTGTGTAAATGTATATAAGAAGAGCTTTCTTCCTTTCAGACCCAGAAAAGTTAAATTTGGAGGTAAGAAAGCAAATACATTTAAAGTTCACAGCACTTCAAAGGGAACCATAGGGCCTGAGTTAGATGCTGCAGTGAAGATAGAAAGCAGTTTGAATATCCAAGAAAAGTGCACAGGTGAAGGACAGGGATGATGTGAACGTTAGACAATTGCCAAACACAAACTACCTGCGCTTCAGAATTTTACTCAGAATGCAATATTTTTTCAATAGAAGAAAGTTAACTACCTACCTTTTACTGGGACTGAAAACTCAAAATTTTCCTTTCAGTATATATTATAGTATGTTTATAGTACAGGTAACAAGCTTTTGTGGCGACACTAAGGAAATAATATATAAAGTAGTTTTTATAGGTAAAAAAAAAAGGGTTGTAGTATTCTATTCACCTAACCCATTATTGAAATGGAAATTGAAGAACATTTTAAAAGTTACAGATAACCTTTTTAAAAAGCTATTTCAATGCAACAGAAAGTACTTCTCCTTCCTATGCTAATTATTTCACCAATTTGCATTACCACTACCAAACCTGACAACTCTAGTGACTAAAAAATACCCAATTTTCCCAATTAATGTATAACATTAGTAAATGTTATTAATCATCATCCCTGTCACTTAACTACATTAATTTTTTTAAGAAAGAAGATATTAATATTAAATAGTTTAAATATAAAATGTTCTTTTCCAACTGGTAACTATAGACAGAAAAAAGTATACTTTGACTTTTTCATTACTAGTAGAGGCCACCCTGGTGGCCTAAGGGCTAAAGTCTCAGCACTAGGAAGCTATCAGTAGCTTCTGCACCAGGAGTCTGATCCCCCACCAGGGAGCTGATTCAAGTGGTGCAGCAGACCTTTCCTGTCTGGCCCCAGCAGCCCTCAGCACTGTACTTCAGTACACCTGCCTGTTCTGCTCTCCAGTCTGTCTCTGGTGAATCCTCTCAACACCACACTCCCACCCTCTGGCCTATTCCCCAGCTCTTGTATGCATAAATAAATAAAACAAATCTTTTAAAAATATACAATAGCTAACTTTTATAAAGTTATTACTTTTAATTAGTTGAAAATTAAATGATTACCTTCAGGAAGTAACTCAAGTTTAAATCCCAGGTCTCAAGCATTCTCCTATCATCGGCGCCCTTGAGTGTCCACTGAGGTTCTTCCTTTTATGGGCACTAGATCAAGATAGTAGCAGTATCATTTATGTGAAAGCTTTATCTTCATAGCAACATCTTTTCTGCAATGAAAAGGTATTCAATGTATATTTTACTACACCTAAAGAAAACTGCTAAGTTTTGTTATACAGGCTTTATTATAAAATAGCCATTATCATCTTGGAATAGTAGAACCATCAATTGACTTAGTTGGGAGAGAAAAACTAGGAATGACTTCACATGTAACTGTGTACTTCAGGGTAGGTGACAATCTTTCTGTGTCAGTTTCCTTATCTAAAATTGGGATTTAGGCCCTCCCTGGTGGCACAGCGGGTTAAGGCACAGCACTGCAAGCTAGCTGCAGTCTGATCCCCAGCGCCCAGGGCAGACCCACATAGCACCGCAGACCTCTCCTGTCCTCCCCTCAGCAGTGTACTTTCTCAGTCTACTTGTTCTGCTCCCTACTCTGTCTCTCATGAATCCTTTCACCACCCTTGCACCCTTGTATCCCAGTTCTGTATGCGTAAATAAATATTTAATAAAAATAAAATAAAATTAGGTATTTGGACAAAGGTTTTATTTCAACTCTCACATTCTCTAACTGCTAGCAAAATAAGTACCTTTATAGCAAATTATAATTCTCTTCACAAGTATTTACTAATAGGCAATCCTTTGGAGCCATAGAAATTTTAAGATTAAAGGCTCCCCTTCCTCACAGTCACTCCCTATAATATCCTGGGATTGATTAGACAATTTTATCTTATTACTGACTTTTGACAAACAGAACAGAAAGATATATTACATGTGAAGCCCAGGCAATTACTGGACCTCAGAAAACACACACATTAAATTTGGCTAACAAACTGTTTTCTAGAATGCTTCATATCACATTTTAAAAAGTAGATTTTACCTTATATCAAAAGCAAAGATTAGGAACAAACTGTTATACTAGAAATTCAATTTTTATTTATAGGGAAATTGTTTATATACTGAATAGACAGCAGAAAGGAAGAGACTAGTCAGCTGTTACTTATATCTCTCTGTACCATTCTTGGCTACTGCTATCTTCAGTATGCTCAACAGCATTTCTAAAACTTTAGAGGTAATTCCCTGCAGCAATTTTTAAAAACCTGTCCTAAAACCTGATTTTTTTGTTGAGTTTTCTCTAGACTTCTGTGTAGTAAATGTATCCATTAAACCAATATCTCAGGGAAAAAACCCCAAACAGGATAACTGAATGATGAAGCCATTTGAAGTTTAGTCTTAATTCAATTCAAGGTATCAATTCAAGGTACTATAATTACGATTTAAAGATTCTTGAAAACATTAAAATTCAGTGTTCAATCTTATTGACTACATTAATATTGCTCAAAAGTACTTTAGAAAATAAAATTTCTCATATTCCTTTTAGAATATATGCAAAAAATACTATGAATCAATTGTGACATAAATTATATCAAGGTTCCTAGTTCACAAATACCTTACAGAATTTTTTTACAGATGAGTTTTGAAAGCTATAGTATATTTCAAACATTTAAATGTATGCAAATATACAACCTATTTTTACTTTTACTTTTTAGTGAAAACTATTTAGTTAATATTCAGTGTCTCTTATTTAAGGTTTGCTCTTCCTATAAATTTTCCCATATACTTGGTTTCTATGTACTTCTTACCCTGTATATACACACATTTTTTTAACCTCTTGTTCTTGATGCTTTACAAATTACTTCACTTAATTTTCCAATTTCTCTAAAGAAAGATCCTATTACCTGTTTAAATTTTTAAAAAACTAAAGTTGTCAAGAAATTTGTTCAACATCTGAGCATTAGAGCTCAAATTCCAAACCATGTAGAAAAAAATTAGTATTCGAAAGCCCATAAACAGTCTTTATATCAACCCCCACCATGACATAACATTAAGAAACCTATAATAAAAAAAATATTTCCCAACTGTCGTTCTCCAGACAACTGTGTGTCTCCATGAGAACCATGGTAAATTAATCAAGTAGGAAATCAATGACTATACATTTTTAAACATATTTTAACAATGGTAATTATCAACAATTTTTTTAAATCTGAGAAAAAGAAAATTATTTGAAAGCTAATTTCAGGTTTTATGAATTGTAATTCAGGCAATTCTACTGTAACTCAAAAACCTCCTATGATTAAGGAATGGTGTTTAAAACTGAAATTTCTTTCCATGTCTACCAAATTCTGAAAACACAAAGAGCAAGACTTCAATTAAAGAGTTTCAAACTTCTGGTGGTTTAAAATGTTGGAGGTATATAATTCTCATCACTACATGTAATTACATTGTTAATTGAACATGGTCTCAATTTGTAAGTCCAGTTCTTTCCTAGGACTTCAGTACAACGATTTTATTTTACCTTTCTAATAATAGGCTAATCTCCCTTCTTCCATGTTTCATTGCTTCTAGTTAAGCGGACATCTAACTGATTATGATGGTAACAATTGTTAACTTTTACTCTGTGGCACTTGACGCTTACAATTGACCAAAGTGCCGCACAAAAACATTGATAAATACGGAGCTGAGGCAGAATTCGAACCCATTCCAACGCATTCGGATTCCGGGGACCGCGTTCTGAAAACTCGAGGAAATAGAAAACCATCCTAGTTTCCACTGTCATGGCTAAGAAATTCTTTTTCGCTTACAATCGTTCAACTCGCTTCTTACATTCTACAGTTGATCTAACCATCAGTTTACTCTATTCAGGTGGAGAACATCTTTAAGCCACAGACAATGGGAAAGCGTTAGTTGTCTTCATCTGCACACATACCGCTCTGCCCACACTTTGGCAATCCAGTTCTGCCTGATTCTAAACCGCTGTCTCTTGAAATTCCCCTCTGGGAGCTTTTTTAGTGAATGCGTCAGAAAGTGACTTTCAGGTCTGAATGACTCTCCATTCTTGCCCTCTCAGAAAAACAACTTAAATTTAACTAGAACAATTCTCGGGATCACTGATAAGAAGACACAGACCTCTGGGTAACGTAAAGATTCAAAAAAGAAAAAAAAGGCAAAAAACGGAGTACCTAGGAGGACGCTTTCCCTTCTAAAAAAAAAAAAAATCCTATATTAAAAGGGCTTATAAAGGGGGGTGGGCCCTAGATGGGGGCGAGAGACAGCGCAAAGGACCACACACACAGGGCGCTCCCACGGCTGAGTCCAGGTCCTGCGCGGCGCAGTAGCGCGTCTCGGGCTCAGCAACGCGCGAGACACCTTCTCAAGCCTGCCGGCCGCGGGCCCAGGAGTCCGGTGCGAACCGGGGGTTTAGGCCTCGCCTCGGGAGGTACCAAAGAGGCCCGAGGAGGGGCGCAAGCAGTGCGGCCTGGGCTGGTTTCCGCGGAGAGCCGCTGGGGAGCAGCAGGGGCCGGCGGTTGCTCGGGGACCGGGCGGGTCAGGAGGTGTCGGGAGGAGAGGCTGGAGGAAGAAAGGGGGGTTGGGAGGCAGCATCCGGTCGGCCGGCGCAGACGGCGCTGCCAAACCTCCGACACCCCCAAACCACCGCCGCCGAGCGCCCTACAGGGCGAGGAGGGAAGTCCACAAAGTGCTGGAGCAGAGGGGAGAAAATTCAAAACGAGTCTACTCAACCTCGTCTTGGCTCCGAGGCCCCGCCATGGAGACCAGCACAATGCGCAGGCGCAGCTTTCCGAGCGCGCGCCGCGTAGCGCCACGAGATAAGGCCACAATCAGCCACCGTCGTGTGTTTGCCCCTCGGAATCTTTTTTTTTTTTTTTTTTTTTTTTGGTGTGCTCCCACCTCTCACCTGGATCCAAACGCCTGAATCTAGAGACCCAACTCACGAAAAATCTAGATAGTGAGATTCCGACTGGGAGTATGCGTGAAATAAGCCCCGAAAGGCTTTAATAAGTTAAAGAGACAGAGGGAATAGATCTGGCTGAAGGGAAGGATAAATTCAAGTCAGCTACTCTGCGACTAACGTCGTTTAAAAAAAGACTACAACTCCCAGTAGGTGCAGCGTCTGAGAAGAGCTGATTTCTGGGAGTTGTAGTATCTAGGAGCTGGGTTTGAAATATCGGGTCTAATATTCAGCCTTTAAAAAGGTGGGGGGGGGGGGATGGCGGGAGATTAAAGTCGACCAAAACCTTTCAGTAACTTCACAGCCGATCACAGGCCTACCTTCGGGGGGGGAAAAAAAAAAAGGACAAGTTACCTTTAAGACTGCTTTGCTGATCGATGATTCCTAGATCTGGAAATAGGTAGTTGATGTTTTGGGGCTGGTCCCTGTGAAAAGACTGCCTCGTGGTGCCTTGCCTGGGAGGCCAGAGGAAAGAAGGCGGAAGCCCTGTGCGAGCAATACCATGATCAATGCAATTTTTTTCTAATTGAAAATTTTATTTTCCTCTTAAATCTGATTTTGAACAACCTTCTTTAGCAGCTCTAGGAGATCAGAGCGTTTGCTGTTACTCCACAGATTTCTCTAGGCGAGTCTGTGTAATTCCCGCGATGGCTCAGTTGCAGACACGCTTCTTCACTGACAACAAGAAGTAAGTACGCGTCTGCCCCTTTTTTCCTCCCCTAACCCCTTCCTTGTATCCTTTCTAAAGACTTTCGCTATGACCTTGTGGATCCCTCATTTTGTTTGCCGTTGTTCTGCCTCTCCCCCAATCCCTCCTTTTAACCCCAGACTCCGTGCGTGAGCGCCTTTTCCTTTCCAACCGTAGCGGCCCACAGCTGTCTGCGACCCACTGACAGCTCTCCAACATCACCGTCTTTTGACTAGCTTTTTCAGGCTACATAATTTGAAGTGTGAGTGTAGTGGGGTCTGAGGGCTCCAGATACCCTTCTTGAATGAAACGTATTATGTAATTTAATAATGAACAAGAAGTCAACTAGTTACATCCCAGTGGTGGTTTTCTTTCCCGTTCATATATTTCTGAAATTTGTTTTATTTCATGTAAGTTTATTTAAATTCTGGTTTTTGCTTACACGGTAATCCGAAAGAACAAAATAGGAGTGTTTAACGATTTCTGAAAACACAACTACACTCTTTTTTTTAAATTAGGTAACAGACGATATTTTTCTAAGCCAGAAAAGGAGAAAGTAGAGTTCTTAATATGGGACGGTAGGACTGGTTTTTGGTTAAGAGTGCAAAGTCCAGTCAGCTAAAATTGTGTGTATACGTTATAGTAAGTATATATGTAAACATAAACATTTTTACAACTGGTCTCCAGATCCGTAGCATTTGTTTGAAACGGAGTCATATTCTGCCCTGTGGTGTATATAAACTTAAAACACTTTTTGTGTTGCTTTAACTACATTGTTCAGTCCCTACATTGATGGCCTTGTAGTGACTGGATCAATAAATGCCAACTTATGGAACTGATAATAATAAACATTTGTTCCCTTTTTTCTTTTTTTTTTTGATGATAAAAAAATATTATTGTATGAACAAGTTAATATCAGCAATAAGCTAAAAAATTCCCACCTCAATTAGGATTGTATCTTTTATTCTTTATATGAATTATGAACTGACTTGGTATATAATATTTACTCTTCTTGTATTGTTGCTGATTGTACACATACATTGTATCATTAATTCACCTGAGTATATATAATTAGTCTATATACATGGGTAAAAAACCTGATAATGCAATAGCATAGCCACTGTATTTTTTCAAATTGAACTTTATATTGAGACAATTTTTGATTCACATGAAACTTCAGAAATAGTAAACCATGTACCTTCAACACAGAGATAAATCATGTGTAGGTGTATGTTTAAGATTCATGAAAAAAGGTATTAGTTTTAATTTAAATATTAAATTTAAATATTAAATTTAAATATTAAAGGCTATACTTCTTCCTTTAGTTTAATATGTTCAGCTTAGTAAAATGAGATGGGGAGATGGTTTTATCCACATAATAATATTTACACATCTGTGTGTAAATTATTCTTCAGCCCTCATGTTACTTTTCAATATAGTAAGGGAAAGGAGAAGTGGAAAATTTGATGTCTAGGTTTTGTTTCCTTTTGGAGACCCTAAATAAATGTTTGCTGCTTTTTGGTATGATAAATACAGAACATTACCTGACAAGTCCAGGGTGTAATTTGAGGACCAGAAACAGCAGCCACATTTGAGAACTTATTAGGAAAAAAACAGAATCTCAATTCCACCTCAGATCTGCTACTTTTTTTTTTTTTTAAGATTTATTTATGCTTATAGAACAGGGGTACAGACCAGAGGTGTGGTGGGTAAAAGGATTCACCAGAGACAGAGTAGGCAACAGAACAGGCAGATTGACAAAGTGCACTGCTGAGGGGATCAGCGGGTGGGTCAAAAGAGGTCTAACACGCCATGTGGGTCAGCCCCCTGCCCAGGGATCGAACTCATGCTGTAGTGGCTTCAGAGAGCTTCATGATAAGGTACTTTAACCCACTGCACCACCAGGGAGAGCCCAGATCTGCTACATTTTTAACAAGCTCTGAAATTTCCCCCTCTAAATACACATGGTGTGGTAAAATGGAATTTATTATAGCTTGTCTTGATGAGTCCTATAGATTCAGCATTAACATTTTTAAAAATTTTTCTTCACACAGGATACAAACCACTCCATGCATCTCTCTTTGGTCACTGCTGGGAGCAAAATCACACTTTCTAGAATAGACTGTTTAGGTAGTTGAATCTCTTAGTTACTGTTTTGCTGCTTTCCTGTATCCTTTCTATGTACTCTCTCATTAGGTAAAAATTCACTTTTCTGGGTATAATACAAGTAGTCTTTATGGTGCATCCTTTCAGATCCTTCTCTTCCATCCTCCTTTTCTCCTGTTGAAATAGCCTATCACTTCTTTGTTCTCTCAGTTTATCATTATAACATTGTTCTTACATTGTTTTGTTGTATTTGATCACCAGATTTTTACCCTTTCTGAAAAACAGAGGCCGCATCTTTAATTCACTTTTGTTAATACCCATTAGCAAAATGTCTGCCCTTTTTTAGAGACCCGGTAAATGTTTGTTAATAATGCACATCTGTGGACCCTCCCTGGTGGCACAACAGGTTAGGATACAGCACTGCAAGCTAGCCTGCAGCCGCTTCAGTTCAAGTGGATCCCCCACCCCAGAGGATCCACAGAGTGCAGCAGACCTCTCCTGACCCGCCCACTGCTCCCCTCAGCAGTGCACTTCGTAGATCTGCCTAATCTGGTCCCCACTCTGTCTCTGGTGAATCCTCTCACAGCCCCTGCACCTCTGGCTTGTATCCAAGTTCTATATAAATAAATAAATCATTTTTAAAAAATAATGCACATTTGTTAGAATATTTGTAGATTTGATCTTGACATGCCATTTCCTTTTTAAAGGTATGCAGTAGATGATGTTCCCTTCTCAATCCCTGCAGCCTCTGAAATTGCTGACCTTAGTAACATCATCAATAAATTGTTGGAGGCCAAAAATGGTGAGTATATGTATAGTTTGGAAGAGGGCACAGTTTCACTAAAGTAAAACTCATTTACTTTTTTTGGCACTATTTTATAATACTGTGTCCATTTTATAGTAGTAAACTTAATTACATGGGTTTCCATTCTACAAGATACTTTGAAAGTGCTTTGAAACAAAATTTTCAGAAAAAAATTTCCCATGTATTAAAAAGTTTTTTAAATCAAATAACTATACCAACAATAGTAAGAATTATACCAACAGAAGAAACTATTTAAATATCTTTAAGTATTTAAAGTTCTTTCAATATCCCGTAAGTTACTAGAGGCTACGTGTCAAATCCTGGAGAACTCAAAGTTCACACTGGACTAGTAAATACCTGTTTGTTTTATAGTTTTTTCATACAATGCTGCTAATACAACTTTTAAGTTCTAAGAGTGATGATTTTATTGTATATTTTCTTTAGAATTACACAAACATGTGGAGTTTGATTTCCTTATCAAGGGTCAGTTTCTACGAATGCCCTTGTTTAAACATATGGAATTGGAAAACATCTCATCAGTAAGTTCAAGAATTTAAACTTCTCTACTTTGCTTAAGGTATTAGCAGATAATGTAGTTAACTCCTTTTAGAATTAGTCTAAATCAGTCTAGCAACCAAGAGTCTTTTTTTCCATCATTTTGTGCATTTTTCCCATCTCAGTTGTTATCACCGTGGGCTTCCCATCACCAAATCATCCATGTGCCATCACCATAGTCCAGTGCATTTCCCTCCCCACCTTCACTGTTTTTGATCCCACTCCCCACTCCACCCCCATAAAATATCTCTGGTATATAACTGTTCATTATTATTATTATTGTCTCACCTGGTCTGTTATACTCCTTCTATGAGTGAGACCATCCAGTATTTTTCCTTTTCTTTCTGGCTTATTTCACTAAGCATGATCTTGTCCAGCTCCATCTATATTGCTGCAAAAGGCATGTATTTATTTTTTTGCAACCAAGATTCTTTTGACTATTATTTTTTCCTAGAAATTTAAAATTTAGTTTCTACATATTAAATTTTAAATGCCTTTTTTTTCTGAGTATGCATTAAGAAAAAAAATGGATGAATATGAAAATATAGCTTCATCTTTGTAGAAGAATAGGTAAGGCAGAGAATAACAAATATTCATGTACTTCTAATATAGGTATACAAAATGAACTGCGCACAAACTAAAATTCATCAGTTTAGGTTATTATGATGCATAATAAACCCCCACTTTTAATTTCAGATTTTTAAAATATTGTTTTTATAATATAAAATATACTTTATAATTGCAGTTTACATTTTACTTACAACTGAAAAAATATATATATTTGCCATTTTAGTAATTTTTTTAATTAATTTTTTTTAATTTTTTAAAATTTTTTTTTAATTTTTTTTTAAAGATTTATTTATTTGTACATACAGAACTGGGGTACAGGCCAGAAGCTCAGGGGCGGCGAGAGGCTTCACCAGAGACAGAGTGGGGAACAGAACAGGCAGATTGACGAAGTACACTGCTGAGGGTAGCAGCGGGCGGGTCAGGAGAGGTCTGCCACACCATGTGGATCACCTCTGGGGCAGGCGGGGATCGAACTCATGCAGAAGTGGCTTAAGCTTCTTTGTGCTGTGCTTTAACCTGCTGCGCCACCAGGAAGGGCCCCATTTTAGTAATTTTTAAGTGTACAATTCATTGGCATTAAGTATATTCACCATATTATGCAGTCATCACCACTATCCTTTTCCATAATGTTTTCACCCCAAATAGAAGCTTTATACCCATTAAACCACATGCTTTAAGTTTTATGATTAAAGTTTCTTATAGCCCCACTCCCACCCCCCCACTTTAGCATAAGTTTTCAAAGGTGTTACTATTTCTCAGCATACTTTAGGTCAAATAAAATTTTTCAACTTTTGTATGGCTCTAAATTTTTTTGAATTTAGAAGGGGATTGATATGAAGGAGATATATTTAACTTTATCTTCATAATGTACTCTTTAAAACTGCACCACCTGATTGATTTCTGGTTTTTCTCTGTGACCAGGAAGAGGTTGTGGAACTAGAATATGTGGAGAAGTACACTGCACCTCAACCAGAGCAATGCTTGTTCCATGATGACTGGATCAGTTCAGTCAAAGGGGCAGAGGAATGGTATTGCCAGATGAATGTTATTCTGTTTTCTTTTTAAGTGCACTATGTGAATATTTTTCTCTGATTCTCTGTTCTCTATGAAAACTAACTTTGATGTATGTATCTGTAACCATGCCAAACAAAGATCATTATATTCAATGTGTTCAAGAAGAAACATTAAGATGTCATTTGTAGTGACATTTATGAATAGGCCAAATGTCTCAGGCTATTTGATGTATTTGGGTTTGGTATGTTGTTTTTAAGACCATGAATATTATTACTTCCAGAGGGGGAATAAAAGCACAGATCTGGCCATGAAGATGCAGATTGTATTATTTTAGCGCTTTTAGGCAAACTCAATCAAATCAGAGGACTATGTGGCTCAGAGCAGACCTCCACTATCCTTATTTACAGGAAAATAGAAGTAGGAATTAATTTCAAAGATTGTCTTCCTGGAGATTTACACAAAGTTATCTTTTTACTGGTCTTACCTATACTTTAATAGTTTGATTAATTACGTGTAATGAATTTAATTGATTACTTAAAAATAAAGAGCTATTATACTTGACAAAGAGTTTCCTAGCTTCTCTAAGAGTTAGTGTTTATAATCATCAAAATGAAATCTGAGGTTTGTCACATTTTAAGAGGTCAAGAAAGTAAATGATAGTGTGTTTTGAAATCTTAATATTAAAGAAGCGTTTAGAAGCATAATCAATCAGGTTTAATTTGTTATTACCTTAGAAATATAATGGATTTCAGGGTTTGGAAAAGTTGCCTTTGTGTTTATAGCATTTTTCTTTTCTTCACAGGATCTTGACTGGCTCTTATGATAAAACTTCTCGGATCTGGTCCTTGGAAGGAAAGTCAATCATGACAATTGTGGGACATACAGACGTTGTCAAAGATACAGCCTGGGTGAAAAAAGGTTAGGATACTTTTCCTAAAGTGACAGGAATCCAAGAGAGTGAACTAGAAGACACCCGTTTGAGTACTATAGCAGAATGGGGATGAAATAGGAAATATCCTGTGACTCGGTTTTTGTGAGGTCTTTAAAAAATATAATGTTCAAAAAGAAGAATTATGTTAAAAAATCGGTATGGACCTCCCTGATGGGGTAGGATTTAAGTTTCAGTGCTGTCACCTCAAAAACCTGAATTTGATCCCTGGCCAGCGAGCTGACCCACATATATACAGGAGACCTCTCCTGTTTCTCCTGCTGCTCCCCTCAGCAGTGTATTTCAGTAAACCCACTTGTTCTGCTCCCCACACTGTCTTTAATAAATGAATCCTCTCACTCCCTGCACCTCTGGCTATGGTCCAGTTCTATACACCCACATAAAACCTGTATGTTGGTAGAAAACAGTCCTTACTGAAATTATGTAATATACCTTTTCAAGTCAATATTGAGTGTTACTAAGTTCATACTTTATTGTATTTTGTGAAGAATCTTTCCTTTATTTCATAAGTTGACTTCTTTTTCAAGGCAGGCCTTATGAATTCTTTTATCTCTTTAACATCTTTAAGAAAAAAATTAATTACCTGGTTTTAGAACATTATGTGTTTTAAATTTTTGTACTATTTGTTTTCTTGTTTTTTTCCTTTTTTCAGATAGTTTGTCTTGCCTACTATTGAGTGCCTCTATGGATCAGACTATTCTCTTATGGGAATGGAATGTAGAGAGAAATAAAGTGAAAGCCCTACACTGCTGCAGAGGTCACGCTGGAAGTGTGGATTCTATAGCTGTTGACAGCACAGGAACTAAAGTTAGTAGCTAATTTATTTACAGTGTGTTGTATTAGAATTTGAGCTTATGAAAAAAATATTTTTTTTACATATATTCATTGTGATTGACCTATTTTTATAAAAGTTGGTGACTAAAGAATATGGTACTCATACAATAAGAGATGCAAAAATTCAGTTCCTCAGTCTGGGTATTTCTATTTTAGAAACATAATCCCAGATGAATGAAGTTTCTTTATGTAATCTTAAATCATAATGATGGATTACTTTCCATCTTTAGCTTACTCAAACGTTGTCATCAATTGAAAATGTCTAGTTACTCATCTGATTTTTAGCAGGTTGCTTCATTATTATTGCTGATCTACTCTTTTATCACAACAAAATGATGAAAGTTAGTTAAAAGGACATAAACCTGAGAGCAACACTGTATTAACGTAAGAAGGGTTATAAGCTCTTTTACAGAAGGTGAACTCCTAATGAGGGAAGACACTTTCCCACCTAGTGAGTTGGGCACTGTAGCCACAAAAGCTGTGACAAGGAGCTCCTGCCTACCTAATGCTTTTCCCTTTCATTGCTTTTCCCTTTTTTCCCACACAAGTCAAAATAAATGTAACCTTTAAAAAATAATAATAATCTCTCTTACAACTTAAAAATTCCCTAAACCACACTGAAATGCTTTCAGTTGGAAGGGCAGAAGACATTTGATATACTGAAAGGTAAAGATTTATGATTTTTCATAAAACTTAAAGGTTTATATGTTATCAAGTCAAAATGTTAGTGAATGAACTACAAAATATTAGTGAATTAACCTTATTTGACTATAAGAGACAAACCGGTCTTGAAGTTTTTTCGGCTTAAAAGATTATACTGTCGGCCCTCCCTGGTGGCGCAGCGGGTTAAAGCACAGCACTGAGAAACTAAAGCCACTTCCGCATGAGTTCGAGTCCCGCCTGCCCCGGAGGTGACCACATGGCGTGGCAGACTTCTCCTGACCCACCCACTGCTCCCCTCAGCAGTGTACATCGTTGATCTGCCCGTTCTGCTTCCTGTTCTCTCTGGTGAAGCCTTTCACCACCCCTGGGTCTCTGGCCTGTACCCCAGTGCTGAATGCACAAATAAAAAAAATCTTAAAAAAAAAAAAAAAGATTATACTGTCTGAGGAAGGAGTGATCAGACATGTCACAAAAAAGCTGTTAACACTTTGGGTCCCATGAACCAACGGAGTGGAAGCTTATTTATGGCCAGCACACCTTCTTTTGTCTCTCCAACTTGACTTTATTTCTTCTCACTTTTAGACTGACCCATGATAATGCAACATGGCCTTCAATATCTCCTGGTCTTTGCGTTCTGTCTATACCTTCTGTCCTTGGAAAAAAGACTAACTTCAGTTCTTTGGCACACAAATTATTTTTTAGAAATCCTAAAGGAGTGAGAGAATTTTTGGCACAGTATAGGTCAGTTATACATCTTTATCTATCTAGCAACTGTGACCAGAGCATGGGGTAAGAATAGTAAACATGGCATTTCCTTCGGTTGCCTTAAAGACTGAGTATAGTTTCAGAAAACTAGGAAGCCAGCCAGGTAACATCCTAGTAGCAAGAATTTCAGAGAAAAGTAATGATTCTAAGTCAAATAGAAAAATAAATAACATAATTCTTTTCCCCTTTATCTGTTTAGTTTTGCAGTGGTTCCTGGGACAAAATGCTAAAGATCTGGTCTACAGGTAAGTTAAGTATTTCCTTTACTTTGACTTAATAAGGATGTTACACAAATTTTAACAAGAGGACTTTTTAACCCACATTTTGACATAAAAATGGATCAGTGCTTTTGAGGACACAAGAAGCCATAGAGAGAAATCAATATATTTCTTTTCTTTCAAAATGATTTTCTATTCAGCATCCCTTTTTCTATTAAAGGGTCACTGAATTGCTGCAAATATCAACAACATTTTGGTGCAGTGGAACATAACTGCCTTAGTTCTTAGAGTCACTTATTCAGAAACTTGGAATTATACTTTGAGTTATTCTGATTCACCTTACTGACAAGGGACTTCTTAATTAAGCTGGTTTACTTTTTTAAAAAAGGGTCTTAATATTGCTTACCAAACTTAATTTTCTACCTTTGAAAACAGATCAGAAGGAACAAATAGATCAGGATGGACTCTTAAGAGGGTGGTACCTTGATAAGTAGTGAGATACCAAAAGAAGAAATGAAAGGGGGAAACCCACAGATACTTAGATTTAAAAAAATTAGTAGTGACCTAGAGCCCTCCCTGGAGATGGCAACAATTTAAAGCACAGCACTATGAAGCCATCACAGTGACTGCAGCACAGTTTGATCCCCGGCTAAGGGCGTGACCCACTTGGCATGGCAGACCTCTCCTCACCCTCCCACTACTCCCCTCAGCAGTGTATTTCAGTACGTCTATCTGTTCTGCTCCCCACTCTTTCTCCAGTGGGGTGGATCCTCTTGTCCCCCGCACCTCTGGCCTGTACCCCAGTTCCATATGGAGAAATAAGTAGTTAAAAAATAATTAGTTGTGATCTAAAACTGTTTGCTCAGGTAAACAATCAGAATAACTTTGTTATATGGGAGGGTATTGCTATATTACAGTATGATATTAAATATAGCTCACAAAGTAAGTTGGGTGGAATCAAGAAAAACTAAAACCATTTTAAATAGTTATATGTAAAAATGGCAGGATACAGACAACTTATTTAGTAGATGCCCCCAAAATGCTGAAAACTGTTTTGAGGCAGAAAGAAGTTTAGAAAATTTTCCACTGTGCAGGTTTTCCTTTTGATACTGCAAGGCAAATAACGTACTATATATGATTAGTTGTTACCTTAAAGTTGTTTGTAGTCTAGTTTGGGAGAAATAGATTAATATTTATAGAATAGTACAAAAGAGTCAAATGGTATGTTGAAGATTTTATAGTTATCTGAAACTTTTAGTTAATTGTTAAAAAAGTAAAATAGAAAATAAACATGACTGGAGACATCTTTTAATGTGTTTACATTGTCATTCCTTTCATAAAATAAATGCAAAAGGTCAGAACTCTCCTACAGCCAGTGGTAAGCATTTTTTCATAGATCTGGTAAAGTGATCAATATTCCTAAGGGTGAGCTTACTTACAGCAAGATGTCAAAACTAGTTAAATTTTAGGACTTAATGTACTTTACTTTTTGCTTTTTCCTTCTGGGAAATTGGTCATACAGATATCTATTAACTAAAATAAGCCCAAGAACTATGACACTGTTTGCAATTGATATTTCCCATAAATTTTAAAGATCAACTTTATAACTCTCTATGATACAGTACCTACAGATGAAGAGGATGAAATGGAGGAATCCACAAATCGACCAAGAAAGAAACAGAAAACAGAGCAATTGGGATTAACAAGGGTAAGTATTTGTGAGGATTCAGTCTACGTATTGACAAATATATGGTGATTGAATGTCCTTCTCATTTGAAATTTCCTTTATCTATATTGCTTCAACTCTAATTAGGGTTTCTTTCAGCAGATTTGTAAATTTTTATTATGAATACTGTATTATGCTACATTTATCTGTCATTAAATGCAGTAGCATTGAGCCAGGCTCACAGATGGGAAAGGTTAATGATTTAGCCATTATATATGATTTCATGTGCATTTTGAAGTACGATCTTTCAATTGTTAGAGTTGCACTAAAATTAAGTATCTTATTATCTGACTGTTTAATAATAATATTTGCTTCATACACCAGAAATGTAATTATTACTAGGGTGCTAATGTTTTTTTCCTAAGTTACTAGAAGTCAAGATTTTATTTTAGGTTTTGGTTTTGTCATTAAACTGTTAGAACCAATTAATACAAATTCAGAAAGTTCATCCAAGTTCTTCTTTGATCTGTTTTGTTAAAAAGATATTTGTCATGTATGGATATGTACTTAATACTGAATTCAGTTTATGAAAACATATTTTTCACTTAGTTTCTAACAGCTAAAATGAATATGTAGTAAATCAGGTAGAAATTTGAATTTTATTTCTTATAATTACAGTGATAAGAAAACAACTGTTGAAATGAGGGTGTCAAGGCATAAAGTGTGATCATAAATGATTTATCAAACTTGTAAAATGCTTATTGGTTCCAACTTACAATAGCTATAATTTCTTAGTACATTTAAACATGAACTGTTGAATTGCAAGAGGAATGATCTATCTAGCAGCTACTTCACTTTCTTGTCAACTAACTCTGGAAGGACAGATTAAAAGTAAAGGAGCTTTATTAATCAGATACTCTACTGGTGGTAATTCATTAATGCATACTACTGATAAACCTCTGAAGAATATTAGTAAGGGGCCCTCCCTGGTGGTGCAACTGATTAAAGCAGAACACTGTGAAGCTATCTGCAGCCACTGCAGCACCAGTTCCATCCCTGATCCCAGAGGTGATCAACATTGCATGGCAGATCTCTCCTGTCTCACCCCTGTTTGTCAGTCTGCCTGTTCTGCTCCCCACTCTGTCTCTGGTAAATCCTCTTACCCCCCGCACTTCTAGATTACACCCCAGTTCTTGATGCATAAATAAATCTTTTAAATATGTATGTATAAAAAGATGTCCTAATTTAAAAAATCACTCAGAGGATAATTTTTATCTTTTCAATTGAATTTCAGTGAATTTTTACATGTTTATATAGCCAAATAATCACTATCCAAACCAAAACAGAATTACCAGCACCCTAGAAGATTTTCTGGAGTTCTCTTATAAGCAGTAATTTAATCACCATTGTAACTTTTATAGATTAGCTTCATCAGTTGTTAAACTAAATAAAATATTTGTCAGATTTCAGTCTTTCTGCTGCTTGACTTTTTTTGATGTATCTTTTTAGGGAACATTTAATCCCAGAATTGGCAAACTATAGCCCAGCAGCCTCTTTCACTAGGTCTGTTTTATACTGTAGAGAGCCAGCAGTGGTTTTCACATTTTTAGGGATGCTTTAAAACAAAGAATATGTAACAGCAATTGCATTTGGTCTATCAAAATTGAAAAATATTTACATTATGAATCTTTACTGAAAATGTTTACTGAACACTAATCTAATCTAACCTCATATTACAGATTAAGTAATATTTAAAGAGGTTATGGGGCTTCCCTGGTGATGTAGGGGTTAAATCTCAGCATTATCACTGCTATGACCACTGAAGCCTGCAGCAGACCTGGCCCACTGCTCCCCTTTGCAGAGTATTTCAGTGGATCCACCTGTTCAACTCCCCACTAGTGAATCATCCCACCTCCTCCCATCTCTGACCTATACCCCAGTTCTTCTCCATATAAGCAAACAAATAATAAATATTTTAAATATTTAAAGCAGTTAGATGTTACAGCATTATCCACTAAATTGTCTCCCATTTCAAAATTATTTCCAGTCTCTTTAACATATTCCTTATATTTAAGACTAGCACTACACCTCCTTTTGGTATTTTAGTTTGAGAAGGACATTAGGAATTTTGGTGTATTCATAACTAAGACATGGACATCATTTAAAGATTTGATAATAGAACTGAAAGATACTTAGGAAATGAAGTGGTGATAATAAATTATTTAGATTAATTTACCTGGAAGATATTAATGTTATTCATGCACCTTTTTCCTCCAGTGGAAGTAATATACAAAATGGCAGCACTTTGACTAAAGCCTAAATTTGTAAGACCCCAGGGCTTTTTCTACTAACTGACATAACAGAATTATGTACAGAATTAAGTTAGTTTTAACTTTATTATTTCTCAAAATGAAAATTAAAACAAATGGAGGAAGTAGCAGAATATAACATAAAGAGTATAACTGTGGACTGCTATTTGGTAACTTAAATCTGTCACTTATAAAGTGTATGAATGTCAGGTTTAGTTCTTCAGTTATGAAGTAAAGCCATTATCTTTCTTGTAGTATCATTGTAAAGAAGAAACGTTAAGATATGAAAGCTAAACCACCTGGCAAAATATTTACCATATGGGCTTCAGAAATAATAACTTATTGTTTTAATTACCCTAAACTGAAAAGGTTTTTCCTTTTGGGTATCTTTCATTTCTAGACTCCCATAGTGACTCTCTCTGGCCATAAGGAAGCAATTTCCTCCGTTCTGTGGTCTGATGCTGAAGAAATCTGTAGTGCATCTTGGGATCACACAATTAGAGTGTGGGATGTTGAGTCTGGCAGCCTTAAGTCAACTTTGGTAAGGCATATAAATCAGTATTTCTTCTATTAACTCTTAAGTGACAAAACTAGAGATGATTACTTTTAAACAAAAGAAGTAAAAGGTCCTAACCCCTTTTTTTTCCTCCCCCTCTTTAGACAGGAAATAAAGTATTTAATTGCATCTCCTATTCTCCACTTTGTAAACGTTTAGCATCTGGAAGCACAGATAGGCATATCAGACTGTGGGATCCTCGAACTAAAGGTGAGTAATGTAAACCACTAGAGGAAAAAGTATGTAGAAATAAAGTCACTTTCTCTTCTCACTAGAGATGTACATAAAAAGTAATTTTCAGCCTTTCCTGGTGGCACAACAGCTTAGAGCACAGCACTATGGAGCTCTCTGCAGCCACCATGGCATAAGTTTGATCCCCAACCTTGGGGCTAGCCCACTTGGCATGGCAGACTATTCCTGACCACCCGCTGCTCCCTCAGCAGTGTATTTCGGTCAATCTGCCTTCTGCTCCCCACTCTGTCTCTGCTGAATCCTCTCACACCCCACACCTCTGGCTTGTACCCCATTTCTTGTATGCATAAATAAATCTTTTTTTTTCTTTAAAAAGGTAATTTTCTACAAGTTTTTTTGTTTCTGTTTTCCAAAATTCAATTATTGTAATCTTTTTTACATTGTTCAGATGGATCTTTGGTGTCGCTGTCCCTAACCTCACATACAGGCTGGGTCACATCAGTAAAATGGTCTCCTACCCACGAACAGCAGCTGATTTCAGGTTCTTTAGATAATATTGTCAAGCTTTGGGATATAAGAAGGTAATTACTGTTTCTGATGTACAAAAGAAATGTATTCGTTATCTGTTGTATACAAAGAAAATGAAATGAATACTGAATGATTATCCAAAAGCATAAGAGTGAAGAAAGTTATTGGTCATAGGCCCTGTGTTGGTATCAAAAAGAAAACTCAGGATTAAAGGTCACTCTTTGACAGTGATTCTAATAAATTGCACATATTAAGGTCTGAGCCAGGCTCAGATCATGACACAGATCATAGGTGAGACAGGGAAAATGTTAGCATAATGACAAAATAGCAAGAGAGTGGGTGTTGACAGAGTGGAGGAAGCTTGAGACAAATAATGGCTACTGTCAATAAACTCTCAGAGGTCTTAATAAGGAATTTGCGTTAATGGTAGGAAAGGCTTTGGAGGATTATAAACAAATGGGGAAGACTGGCAGCAGATAGATTGTTAATATAGTTCAAGAGATAGATAATGGTGATTTGTATGCTAAATGGTTGGATTCTGGGTATATTTTGAATCTATCTCTTTTGAAGATGGTCTGTGCATTGAATATGAAAATAGGAACCAGGACTATGCTCAAATTTTCTGTCTGAGCAATTGGGTGATAAGTGCTACCATTTTCTATTAGCCTAGTAGGAGGAAATCAAGAGATTTGTTTTGGTTGTTTTAAATTTGTAGGCCCATAAGTCAAGGCAGCTGTTGGGATATGCATTGGCTGTATATATCAAAATCAGCAGACATTTGGGCTAAAATAGAAATGTGGGGATTATCATCATGTAGATGGATAGACAAAGGGTATATAAAATGGGATGGCTACAGAGAAGTAGTCAAGAAAGTATGGATACAACCCTAATTAAGATAAATTTTTATAAGTAAAAATTGATGTAAATTTTCCTAAAAAATATTGTAATAAATCTATAATTGCTAATGATATGGGAAAAGCAGAGTTGATGATCATTTTAACTTAGGGTTTCTGTAGTAAGTAATTATTGAGCAAGGGTTATACACTAGAATTTTTAGAAAAGTATAAGTGATTGTTCATAGATCTTTTTTTAGTATTATAAAGTACATATAATGTTCTTGTTTTCCTCTTTTAGTTGTAAGGCTCCTCTCTATGATCTGGCTGCTCATGAAGACAAAGTTCTGAGTGTAGATTGGACAGACACAGGGGTAAGAATTTATTACTTGGTGAAGAAGAAAATATTAAAATGAATCTCGTGTGTTTTATAGATCTTATTCAAAAGTGAAACAAATTTAGCTTTCATTAATAGTAAAATTTGAAATTTTTAAGATTTATTTTATCATAAGTTTTAAAGAGCTTGCTGCTTCATACTAATTGGATTAAAGTCTTTCCCATTTTGGAAAGATCTAGATTATAAAATCTGTTTAAAGAATTACAATTTAAGTATTTGTATATAGAACTAAGCTCTTTTAGCCTAAAAATACTAACTAAAGTTAGTTAGCTCTGGTATCTAAAGCTACTTCAATTACTTGTAATAATCCATTTATCTGTATATGTTAAATGGACTGTCCTTTAAGAGCTACAATCATCACACCTGAAGTAAACCCATACAGTGAAAAAAATAAATAAGGGTATTTTTTTAAAAATCCTTAAATAGGTAAAATTATGTCCTGTTTAAAATTATCTTTAAAATTTCAATTGTATTAGCAAATATTTCATAGTAAATTCATTAACATTATACCTCAACCAAATCAAATCGTTCTAAACTTTTAATATAATGTGTTGTAACATAATGAAAGTTGATGTGATTGGCCCATTTACATATTAACTGAATGCATATTAACTACTCATCCATGGTATTTAATTAGATTTATCTAACATGGAATAATTATAGTTACCTTTGTGTTTGTGTTTTTTTTTTTCCTCTCCCTTTACATAGTTACTTCTGAGTGGAGGAGCAGACAACAAATTGTATTCCTACAGATACTCACCTACCACTTCCCATGTGGGGGCATGAAAATGAATAAGTTTGACCACAGAGATTCTACATATGAAACTGATAAATCTTCAGAGTACATCATTCGGATTCAGAAAGCAGCTTTTTATGTTCTTATCCTTGATAATAGCTATCACTGTTACCTTTATTATGTATTTATTATGCAATAGTTTGTGTTTACAGAATACAAAAATGTGGCCTGTACTGTCTACCTTATGTAACTCTAGAAATTAAATGTTTTTAATTTCTTTTCAAGGATACTAGCTTAAGATTGGCTTTTGAAATACTATAAAGGCATAAATTTAAAAATGTAGTAGTTAATGGTCCAGTATTTTATTTCTGATGATGAAACTTGTTATTTGCTGTCCAAAAAATCTAAAGAAAACTAAACTTTAAGAGAAAAATTAGTATTTGCTTTAGGTATTCAGAACATTAAGATAATGTAAATATTGCCAATTCATTAAACATTTGTTGAAATATTTTATGTCAAGTTTTTCCTATTAAAGTTATATCAGAATCCTTTATAGAAATAACACACAGATTTCATGGTAATCAGGATCTCTCTCCCAAACTTATCCTTATATGTATATAAAAACAGATTCTTAGACAAAGCCTTTTCAATATTACATTGTAAACATTTTATAACTTTTATACCATTAGTATTTACCTTAATGTATATGTTATATGCCAAATGGTTTCTTAAAATGCAACTTCCAACTTTACTGGACTGGTATTCCTCAAGCAGAGCATTTCAGGCTCTCAATAATATATCGCAAGTCAGCTCAGTGTTATCGCTAGAGTCTTAATGTAGTAGATCTCACAGGATATTCCTGTCATAGAGCTCTAGGAAGCATCCAAATGTACCTGGCTACATTTGGGAGCCATAGATAAAATAGATTAAATCTGGTAGGAGTTTAGTTCTCCCTCTATGAAGAAGTCCAGGCAGGGGTAGTCCAGAGCCTATATAGTGGTTTTGTTTTATACTCCTTAGGGCCCAAGCTCCCTTGGATATGGTTCTCAGTCTCTCAGAGACCAAAAACTAGTGCTCCAATTATATCATTCTTGAAAAAGACAGTATATTTTAATGCCCACATCTGAATAAAGGTATCCAGAAAACTCACACAAAGTCAGTTCAGTAGTCTTTGGAACTTTCAAAGAACAAAAATGAATTTTTTTTAAAGATTTATTCATTTATACATACAGAACTGAGGTACAGGTCAGAGGTTCAGAGGGCAGTAAGAGGCTTCACCAGAGACAGAGTGGGGAGCCGAACAGGCAGATAGAGGAATAACACTGCTGAAGGGAGCAGCGGGCGAGTCAGAAGAGCCACGCCATGCAGATCAACCTCAGGGCCAGGAATCAAACTTGCATTGAAACAGCTGTGGTTAGCTTGCAGTACTGCGTCCTAACCTGTTGCACCACCAGGGAGGGCCCAAAATATCTTTGTAAACTCACTCAAATATAGCATTCATACACCAGATTATCAAAGACTAAAATAACCTGTTTATAGATGTAGTGGACAAAAAAGGAAGTGGCATCAAATACTGGTTCCCTCACTTATTCTCAACCCTAGTTCTAATGCAGGATACTGTCCTAGCTAAGGATGGTGTTACAGTGACCAAATCACTTGGAGGCTTGTCTGGTGGGTTTTATATATATATAGTTTATTTTTACATACTTTTGTGCATTTTTCCATCTCAGTTGCAATCCCCTTGGGTTTCCCATTTGTCTGGTTTTCTACTAAACTTTTCCTTCTGTAACTGAAGTGGTTTAGTCTTAGTTCCCAAACGGTACATGGCAGGCCAATAGAAGACTCAGACCTTTTGTAACATTATTCTATCATCCATCCTCTTGCCTTTTTCCCCAAAAGCAGAAGTTTCTTGATGATCTGTCATCCTCTGTTTTAATTACACTAAACACAGGGACTTTACATGGACTTAATTTATCCTAAGACTGGCTTAATGAAATGAGTGAACAACTTTTCCTAGCACTAAGAGAAGTAAGAAAACAGTGTCTTCAGGACAAATTAGCATACAGAATTAGTTATTACGGTGTCTTGTCAGAGTAACGCAGCTCATAAACTTACTGATACTTGTTCTTACCTCAAAAGTTTTAAATAATGAACTGTTTAACAATAAACTTCGTAACTTTAATTTTTAGCTCAAAGTATCTAGTTGCCCAATAAATCATTTCAAAGGAAAAGGCTGAACTGTCAAAATCCAGAGTCTCCTGGCATGAAATAAAGAGAACAAGACGTGTACAACCTTCAAAAAGATCGCCTACTTATGTGGGAGATAATCATTTAAAATTTAGTGTAACAGGGCCCTCCCTGTTGGTGCAGCACTATGAAGCTATCCTCAACCAATGCAGCACAAGTTCAATCCCCAGCCAGGGAGGCGACCCATAAAGTGCAGCAGACCTCTTGTCTCATCCACTGCTCCCCTCAGCAGTGTACTTATTAAACCTGCCCGTTCTGCTCCCCATTCTGTCTCTGGAGATTCTTCTCACCATTCCCTGTACCTCTGGCTGCACTGAGAAGTTTAAATTTTTGCTTTCTTAAATAAAACTGCCTTTGAGGTTTTATCTAAACATTATCCTTTTTTAGATGAAAACTCTGCTGAGATGATTTGAGTAAAGTTACTGGACTAACTTGAATGACTTAAGATTTTTATTCTATGTAGGGGAAAGATGAGCTTTTTTTTTTTTTTAAAGATTTATTTATTTATTTATATGGAACTGGGGTACAGGTCAGAGATGTGGAGGGTGAGAGGATTCACCAGACAGAGTGGGGAGCAGGACAGGCAGATTGATGAAATACACTGCTGAGGGGAGCAGCGGGTGGGTCAGGAGAGGTCTGCCTCGCCATGTGGATCTCCTCCAAGGCAGGCGGAATTTGAACTCATGCGGTGAACTCATGTGGTAGTGGCTTTAGCTTCTTAGTGCTGTGCTTTAACCCACTGCGCCACCAGGGAGGCCCCAAATGAGCTTTTTAAGGAGACAATGTACCTGTCATATCCCTTTAATTTACAAAAGGCAATTTCGCTATTGACAGCAGTGCATAATAGAGCAGAATGGTTCCCAGGATTATTAGGGGAAAAGAACAAATAAAAGTTAAAATTTATGCCAAATATACATAATTACATAACAATGAAGCCTGCAGTGAAATCTTGTGGTATTTTTTCCTCATGTATTTCAGTTAGCATAATCCCCTCAAGGTCCTCTGTGTTTTCACAAATGGCAAGATTTTGTTCTTTTTTAATACCTGAGTAGTAAGCCATTGTGTATATATATGTCTTTAAGCATTCAACCATAGTCAGGCACTTGAGTTTCACTATTGTAGATAGTGCTGCAATGAACATAGTCCTGTAAGTATCTCTGATTTAGTGCTTTCATATTCTTCACCTAAATACCTAGAACTGTGGGATCACTACATCATATAGTAGTTCTGTTTTTGTTGGAAGAACCTCAATATTATTTTCCATAGTGACTGCACCAATTTATATACCTGCCAACAGTAAGTATATCATTTTCCTTTTCCTCCATTCCTCACCAACACTTATTTCTTGGTTTTTTTGTTTTTTTTTTTTTTTGATAATGGTCACTCTAAATGAGTGAGGTAAAATCTCACTGTGAGATTTGTATTTCCCTAATGATAAATGATGCACAGCATCATTTCATGTGTCTGTTGGCCATCTATATATCTTATTTTAGTGAAAGGCCTATTTAGATCCTCTGTTTTTAAATCAGGTGGTAATTTTTTGTCGTTGAGTTTTACAAGTTATACGTTTGCCTGATACATAGGTTTGCAAATACTTTTTCCAATTCAGTAGACTGCCTTTTTTGTTTTAATGATTTCTTTCACTGCTGAATGAAGCTTTTTAGTTTGGTGGAGTCCTATTTGTTTGTTTCTTTTGTTTCTGTTGCCATTGGAAACAAATCCACAGATATCAGTAAGACCATCAAAGAGCTGATTATGTATTGTTTTCTTCTATTTCATGGTTTTAAGTTTTACATTCAAGTGTATGGTGTAAGACAGTTTCCACTTTTCCCAGCACCATTTATTGAAAAGACTTCCTAGTCCATTATATGTTCTTGGCTCCTTTGTCATATATTACTTGCCCATATACATGTGGGTTTAATTCTGGGCTCTTGATTTGCCTCTATTGATCTTATTTTTATTACAATAGCACACTTATTGTTTTGATTAACATTAGAGCACGATGCCTCCATTTTTGTGCTTTTTTCCTCAGGACTGTTTTAGATAATAGAGGAGTATTATGGTTCCATATAAATTTTATAATTTTTCGGCCTACTTCTCTGAAGATTAATAATGGGATTATGTCGAATCTGTGTGCTGCTTTTAAGTAAAATGCCATTTTAACTATATTGATTCTTTTGATCCAAAAGAATATTTGGAACACAGACTATTTCCATTTCTTTGTGTCTTCTCTCCTTTCAATGGTATTTGATAGTTTTCAGTGTACAGGTCTTTGGTTATATTTATTCCTACATATTTTATTATTTTTGCTGTGAGCTGAAGTAGTATTGTTTTCATCATTTCTTTCTGGTAGTTCATTGCTTGCATATAGAAATGTAACATTTGTTGCGCAAACCTGGGACTAACCCAATTAAATTCTATGGTTGTTTCAAAAGGAAGCTCTTTTTCACATATGTTCATATAACATTTCACATTTTTAAAATCATCTTAATAGGAGCCTCCCTAATAGTGCAATGGGTTAAAGTACAGCACTATGAAGCTATCAGCAGCCACTACAGCATCATGAGTTTGATCCCTGACCAGGGACCTTGCCTACCTCACCTGTTGCTCCCATCAACAGTGTATCTCAGTCAATCTGCCTGTACTGTTTCCCACTCTGACTCTAGTGAATCCTCTCACTTCCCACATCTCCGCCTGTACCCCAGTTCTTGTACGAGTAAACAAATCTTTTAAACAATCATCTTAATAACATTCTAATTCTAGTCTTAACTGAATAAACAAAAATGCAGTATGGGAAAACATATGTAAGTAATTACTATGTGGGCATATGAGAAGCTAGCTAGCTGTGTATATCCTCCCTCACAGCCACTGAACTTTTGCTTCTGCTTCCTTGATCAGATAATAAATAAAATGGAATACCCTGAAGAAATGGAGCCATTTCCATGATGTCAGGTTCAATAGATCCCTATTTGTTTTCTAATATCAACTGAGTTTTTATTTAGCAGTTTAGCCAAGCTTGCTTGATTCTGCAAATATAAAAGTAAAGATTATTGCTTTCTAGGGGAATTAGTACTATTCACTGGGATGACATTCCAAGTCATCAAGTGATATTTTTTTAGTTAGCTTATAGAAACCTGCAAGGAGAAAACATTTTATACCAGGATAAATTAATAGAAAAACAACACATCTACAAATGTTTGGACTTGTTAGTAAATTAAATCCATATAATAGTTATTTTAAATTCAGATAATAGTATTCCATTTTTTAAAGCAGGTTTTTTATGAAACACTAATTTTTAAAATAATATAATAGTTTATTTTACATTATTTTGTGCCTATTTCCTTCTCAGTTGTAATCCCCATGGGTTTCCCATCACCAAATCACCCATGTGCCATCACCATAGTCCAGTGCACTTCCTCCCCCCACCTTCCCGTTTTTGATCCCATTCCCAACTCCACCCCCATAAAATGTCTCTGGTATATAGTTGTTCATTATTATTATTTTTCCCCCTGGTCCTTTATACTTTTATGAATAAAACCATCTGGTATTTTATGAAACACTAATTTTTAACTACTGTAGGCACCTCATTTACTTGTTAATGGATTAGTACTTGTCATTTAAATATTTCTTCATTAATCCAACAGCTAGGGGAAGGTTAGTAATACATCCCACAAATATTTATGGAATACCATGAGTTAAGAAGACCTGATAGAAGAGTCAGTACATAGGAGTGTCAGTAGTTCTGCTTTGTTTGCTGAAAGCATCCCTATACATGCCACAATTTGTACAATTTTACTGAGTAGAATGGCAAAGTGACATACAAATGCTTCATTTTATAGTGGCCTAGAAATACATCATATTTTTCTGTAATTTCCCCCAATTAATTGAATAAAACTAACAGGCATGGTCCAGTCACTACTCTGACTTTCTGGTATATTCCTTAGAATGCTTTTTTTGCTTCATATTAGTCTGAAGAAGCTAAATGTCCTCTTGAGTTATAGTTCATCCTGTTGGAACAAGCGTTTTCAAAAGTATTCAAGGAAAATTACTATGTTGCATGGTAACATTTTGAAAGTCATTTTGCTTACCATATTATTTTTTCCTGAAGGAGAAAAGTGTCCTTTTTTTAAAATTTATGCATACAGAACCCAAGTACAGGGCAGAGGTGCAGGGGCAGTGAGAGGATTCACCAATGACTGAGTAGGGAGCAGAACAGGCAGATCAATGAAGTACACTGCTGAAGGCAGCAGTGGGCAAGACAGGAGAGGTCCTTACTGTCCAGCCAGGGATGGAACTCTCGCTGAAATGGTTAGCTTTGCAGTGCAACGCTTTAACCCATTGCACCACCAGGAAGGGCCCAGAAAGTATCCCTTTTTAGATATTTTATGCTGTACCCATCTTTGTTTCTGTTCATTTATTGATTGAATAAACATTCCTTCAGAACCTAGTGTGTATGAGACTAATATAAAAAAGATAATGTTATGGAAATGCATTGTTTTCATTTAAAAGAAAGTTAAACATTAACAAAAAACAGGAACGTACATAATTACAATATAGCACAACTGCTAATTGCAGAAATATGCCATCTATAGGAGGGACACCAAATTAGCATGAGTAAGTCAGAAAATATTCTAGAATATAGAGTAATCACCTAGATTTGTCAAGAACCAATTCTTACTGTTAAGGATCTGGACTTCGAGAACCTGAGGAAAGCTGTGAACGCTTAAAAAAATCTGCATATTATTTCAGTTATTCCAAGAAACCCGTATGTCTCATGTTGCAAACCCCTGGTCTAGAGACATTTTCAATCCATATTAACCTTGTATTGCAAATAGTCAATCCTTTTTCCCATTTTTTAAAGAAAACTTTACTTAAGTAACATTGCATCATAACATGTAAATTTCACTAGAAATCAACTAATCAGTATATATTAAGTTCACCACTAAAAGTCTGATTCTATCCTTCAATATAAAATTGACCCAGTCAACACCCAAGTTACATACCTACACACCTCCCTTCTAGTAACCAAAAATTTGGCCTTATAGGCTCAAAGTTCATTTTTGTTTGATGTCGTTCATTCATTTGCTTGGTTTCTATCTACCATATGAGTGAAATCACACCTTTTTCTGACAAACTTCACAAGCAAAATATTCTCTAGGTCCATTCATGTTGTTGCAAATAACAATATTTCATCTTTTAAAAAAATAGCTAAATAGTATTTTATTTTGTATATATACCATATATTTATACTCGGCTATTTTAATTAATGCTGTAATGATTATGAGGTACAGATATGTCTTTGAATTTGTGTCTTTGTATTCTTTAGGCAAATATCCAAGTTTTTCCTACTCTGAAAATTTTTTCAGGTTAAAAAAAAAGATTTATTTATGCATACAGAACTGGGGTACAGGCCAGAAGTGCAGGGGTGGTGAGAGGATTCACGGCTTCAGAGTGGGGAGCAGAACAGCAGATTGACAAAATACACTGCTGAGGGGATTAGTAGGAGTCAGGAGAGGTATGCCAAGCCTTGTGGGTCACCCATCCCTAGCCGGGGGTTGAACTAGCGCTGAAGCAGCTGCGGCCAGCTTCGCAGGTCTGAGTTTTAACCCATTGCCCCACCAGGGAGCGAGGGCCCCTTATTTCAGGCTTTTACAGAGAGCACTCTAATAACAGTTTAGAATCTCCCCGCATCTTTGTCATTCCTCATCTTAAAACATTTTAGTCCTGGGCCCTCCCTGGTGGCGCAGCGGGTTAAAGCACTGCACTAAGAAGCTGAGACCACTTCCACATGAGTTCGATTCCCGTCTGCCCCGGAGGTGACCACATGGCGTGGCAGACCTCTCCTGACCCGCCCGCTGCTCCCCTCAGCAGTGTACTTCGTTTATCTGCCTGTTTTGCTCCCCGCTCTGTCTCTGGTGAAGTCTTTCGCCGCCCTTGAGTCTCTGGCCTGTACCCCAGTTCTGTATGCACAAATAAATAAATCTTTAAAAAAAAAAAAAAAACATTTTAGTCCTCACCTCAGGTGAAGCTTTTTCCTATAGAAAGCCAATGCTCTTTTTTTTTTTTTTTTTTTTTTAGCCACCCTTTAAAAGAACTAAACTATCTTCCACCAGTGAGGTAGTTTGGTAGCTTGATTTTTGCCTAATTTTTTGGGGGGGTTCAAATTACACCTTTTATTCGTGAAGATATTTATGACAGCACGTCATCATTATGTGTGTCTGCATCTGAGGTCAGTTGCCAGCAGTTACTAACTTCAGCCACTTCAAACCTTTTAAGTAAGAGGAATCATGGCCCGCGCACGTTCACCGCGCGCCGGCGCTGGGACCGAGATGCGCGGACGACGCGGGAATGGCCAGGCTCGGAGCCCGGCAGGGGCGCCCGGCTGGGTCAAGGAGCCGAGATTCCTTCCGCCCACCCGCGCCTCAGAAGTCTCACATGCACTCCCCCTCCGGAGGTTTCGGCCGTCAATTCACTTACTTAAGCAATCCCGCAAGGAGGTACCGCGAGGCTGCGGGAGTTCACCCAAATCCTGACAGAGCGCCGGGGTCCGCGCGGAGTGAGGCGAGAGCCGGGGGAGCCGCCTGCGGGCGCCAAGGGCCGGGGCGCGCGCGCCTGGCCGTGGGGT